TTCAAAGAGTGCTCAAGACCAAAAATCCTGCCTTTGGTTGCTTTTCATACCTTTCCTACTCAGTCTTCAAGATCATCTAGAACCTCCTGTAAAACACTCCCCATTTTTCCATGACTTCTTACTTTTTTAGTTTGGTTCAGCAAATTTTTTAACACAGTCACCCTCCAAAGTCTCCTTAACGCAAATATTAACTCCAGAGATACCCAAAACCATCCCTCAGGAGATCTCAAAAGCCTGATCCCAGCTGCAATTATTTCTGGGAGTTTACCTGATTCTGCTCCAACCTCACAATCCAACTTCACCAGTATATCCATTCTTCATGCAGTACTCTAACAAGCATCTCATTGAACATCAAGGAGATTCCAAAACTAAAGATTAGTTTGGCATAAACTACACCTACTTAAATATCCTTCCCCCCGTCACCCCCCAAAAATCTTGCTCTAGAACACACCACTGTATCAGACCAAACAGATCTGAAGTTACATGGAACATCTGGTACCATCTCTTCAACATCTGTCAAGTACAATGCCTACACAGAGCACAGCTTCTGGTTTGAACAAATCCAACCTGCCAGCAATTCAAATTCCCACACTTCTTCCTTCTTGCAGTTCAGCAATGGAAAAGCAGTACACAGGTCCCTCTGAGCAACTTGATTCACAAGCTTGAAAAACTGCAGAATTGGCCTCACTAGTTGCAAAAAAAAAGTCACTCTGATCCACTAAGATGATCCATTCAAAACATACATCTAATAAACCCAGTTTATGTTTCTGAAGTGGATTATTCAAGCCTGTATCCTCCCTGCAAGCCACGGAGATCCCATCCCACCACAGTATTCAGCTGGGAGGAACTGCCTTCATCCTACACATATTCTGTACCAAAATAAACCCTGCTGCACTCTGAGCAGCTGCAGTCATGTACATGTTTAAAAATACAACATTAAGGTCAAGCTCTCCATGATTTTTGTAAAGGTCTTTCCTTTAGAAAACCACAGCACCTTCTCAACCACATCATCATCCCCCTCTCTTCCTCCCACTTGCTCCAAATCTCCTCCTTTCCCTGCTGTCTAAACCACATCACTATCTTTCTTCCTTCCTGCAATAGAACTGTGACCCAGCCGTGTCACTCACATTTTGGCCACACCTAGGAAAGTAATTTACAATTATCCATCCCATTTATGCAGGATTTACCCACAGCCATGTAGGAGTGTAACACCAGGTATTTCCCAAGCCAACATCTGGAAGAAAGAGAAAAAACAAAAATCCCCTTTCAAGTAGCTCTGGGAAACCTGAAAATGTCAGAGTAATTCACAAAGTCACGGTAAGAAATTCCAATTAAAGGGAAAAGTCTTCAGTATCAGCACAGGGTAAGATTTTTCATGGAACAGAGACAGCTTAGGCTCTTCCCCCTCTCCAGTCCAATCATTCCTGCCTCTTATCACAGCGTCCTCGTCCTTCAGCTTCTGGGTAACTGAAAACATCATACTGAAAAACAAGTCTCTTTCCTGCTATTTCTTTTCTCCATCAACCCCATTGGATCAGCCCTTCCTTCTTAGCAAGGTGCCACACCAAAGCCATGTCCAAAACAGATTTTGAGTTAAAAGCACCATAACTGAGCACTTCAAAGCCTGCTTGGTTTCAGAAGTTACAGTCACACTGGATGTGCATCCATTGGTCATTTAACAGAAAAGCTTTTAAGAACACGGATCAAAAATCACCTGGCTTATTTTCTATAGGCCTCCACCTTCTAGTACAAACCCAGATGTTGTGGATAAATTGCTTTTATCCTTTCCCTTCAGCTGAAGCTGTTCTTTCCAGTATACATTCACCTACCCTCCCCAAGCATCCTCATTTTTAGGGACAATCTGGTACCAAGCATCTGAATAGTCACAGATTAAAAGCTTTTGGCCATAATACAAAGAGGACCTGCTCTGCTACTTCTAGAAGCTCCTTAGAAGGCATAAATCAAGCCAAGTCTTTATGTGGAAAGCATCAGTACTTCCTAGTTTCTCAGTGAGGCATGGCAAAGAGTTTGTGCCTGAATTCTGAGATACAATAAGAAATTTTAAAATACAAAAATTTTCCAAATTCTCAAGAGTGCAGTTTTTTCCTGTCCTTAAGAAACTATGGCAATCACACCCCATACCACCACTTCTAAACCAGTATTTCAACACAGTGAGATAGACATCAGGTATGGAGCAAGAAATACAGAGTTTTTGTTCAAAGTGCACAAAATCATGATAAAACTCTAGATAATTAGTCTCTTGAGATCTAGGGATGTGGTTCATAGCCAAGTTTGCCCACAACAATTAATATTATTTCTGCATCCTGACAGATTCTCCCACCACTGCAGCTTGCTGTGGATCAAGAATGACAACTGGTGTGGACTGTGGTTTTAATTAGATGTACCAGTATGTAAATCATCATCTTCTGCCCTGTAGACATAGTGGTTTTGAACCACTACCAGGGCACTAAAATATGTTCACTATGGGTCTTACACCAATGCCTTCCTCAGCAAGCCTCAGTTTCAGAGAATCAGAGAATCCCAGACTGGTTTGGGCTGGAAGGGACCTTGAAGGCCATCTCGTTCCACGCCCCTGCCATGGGCAGGGACACCTTCCACTAGACCAGGTTGCTCCAAGCCCCATCCAACTTTGCCTTGAATATTCCTGGAGATGGGGCAGCCACAGCTTCTCTAGGCACCCCATGCCAGGGCCTCACCCCATCACAGGGAAGAATTTCTCTACACCCAATTTCTACCACTGCACCAAAAAACAAGTGTCCTGGCTCAACTCTGCAGATGGAAACCAGAGTTTTTAACCACTTCTACCATGTAAGAAAGTGTTTGCAAAATCAGTCACTTGATCTTTTCCTGCTTATACCAACACTTCTCTTTTTTCTGACCAAACCAGAAAGAACCCAAGGAATTAACCTAATGCAGAGTCAGGGTATCTTTCAGAAAGTGGTGGCCATGTTCTCCTATTCCAGGAGTTTATGACACACATTCCAACAGCTTCACCCACAACCTCCTCACACCATGTTTAATAGTATTACATTCATTAATACCCTATATGCAAAACCTTCAGCTTCTCAGACCTTGATACTGCTGGGAGCCGTGGCACACACGATGTGAAGGTCACCCATACCTTTTCCCTTGGGCAGCTCTGAGAATCAGGGATCCCTATGAGACCACTGAATTTCACCCATGCTTTTACCTCTCAGCCCAGTGACACCAAACACCTGGGCTCTGGTAAAAGGCAGTGGGATGGTTTCCATCAGCTACTGCTAAATCCAGACACACCATTACAGGCATGGGGCACAAATGCTTATTTCCTTTAGAAATGTAACAACTTTATTGAAACAGATGTTCCAGGAACAGTGGAAAAGGACTCCCAGAGCAGTGCATGCGTCCTGTGGAGGATGCATGCATGGGAAGATCTAACAGGGAGGAACTGGTTTCAGGAGCTCAAAAGTAGCCTCTTTTTGCAGTGCTTCTCTTCAGAAAAATGCCACAAAAATAATCTCACATCTAGCAGAACTACTTGACGTGAGAGGCGTAAACTCTGTTCTTGGTTAAGTTACAGAATAAATTATTTGATTACAAGCTAAAAATACTTACTATCATATATTCTTTTCCTCTTTAAGGAGCTCTTGAATTGATAATCCCACAACAGAAATAAGGAAGTACATTTTTAATGCCACTGCTTAACATTTTAGATCACTTCGGAGCATTCACTTTATCCCTTCTCCTGGAAGTTTTAATGCCAGACTGCTGACATTTCCTAAAAAAACATTATAGTTGAATGAAAAGTAAGTTGGTGTGTTGGCAGAGCGCAGTGCTCACTGACCTGCCTCAGGCAAGAAACCTGATTACGTGGCCACACTGATCCCTTTTGGCCTCACCATTTTTTACGACATCAAAACCATTCAGCCATAATCTATTTTTTTTTTGGTGGCTGATGAATTTAAGATAACAAACTATCTAAATGGGACCACAGCAACCTCAACACTCCTGCAAGCCATTCAAGCAGCACAGGGAGGCTATGGAGAGTGCAGGTGTTCTGACAGCCACGGCAGAGATGTGGTCATCTTCCCAGATGATGGCATGGAGTCCTGGCTTTTTGCAGCCCTTGCTTTGGGAGCCAGCTCTCCTGGCAGCCACACCTACCTGGAAAGCTTTCACCCCATCCAAAGAGATAAGGAGAAAGGAGTCCTCCTCCTCTTCAACCGCAGACTGGTTAACACTTAAACAAGACTGACCATGTCTTCTAAAATAAAAGTCATCATCAAAGTGTATGGTCCCGGTCCACAACAATAATCATCTTCTCTTCATCAGGGGAATTCTAAACTAGAGTTGAATTTAAGGGGATTCCTACCAGGTCCATAACAGCGGTGGAGACCTGAGCAGGGCAGCACAGGAGGAAGGCAGGAAGCCACTAACAAGAACCCTGCTATGCACCCATACGCCCTGTACCAGCCAAAGGGCAAAAGCAGCCAGGACCAGCCTTCCCCCCCACATACCACAGCAGGCCTGTCCAATACACAGCTGACCACACCAACAATAACACCCAATGTGCAACACATCACACAGAAGGTTCTGGCACCGGTTCCAGGAAAGGCAACATTCAACTGTGCCAGATCTCCTCCAGCCACACTTACAGCACAAAAACCTGTTTCAGGTAACACTCCACTGATCCTCCCCTACAGCTTTTTGCATGCCTCATCTAAGCAATCTTTCATGTCCATCACCTTTCTTTGACACTCACACATCTCCACAGTCTCCTTACTACACTCTTTTTACTGGCAAGAGAGTAGAAAGAAGGCAAGCACACATTAAACATCTCACACACACGCGTCTGGGCTCATGTGCATTCCAAATTCTCCCTATAAGCACTTTTTTAGGCAGAGCAACTCATTTGCCACCACTATGCCTACTCTTCCCCTTGAGGACAATCTCTTTAAACTTGGAGAGATTTAACTAATAACATTAAAATGATGACTTACCAGTCTCTCATTATCTTCTGTGGTTCTCTGGTAATGAGCTGCTAAAGAAATGTAATCCTGCTCCTGCTTGTTACACTCCAAACACTTAAGTCCATGACGGATTAGCCTCTGTGGGTCTGTGTAGAGAGGCAAGGCTGGCTGAGTGCTTGCAGAAATCCCTACCCCGCCTCCTGAAGCAGCAGTGGACTTAAGTGGAAGAGAGGATGAGAGAGAAGTCTGAGAAGCTGGAGAGACTGAAGAGCTTGTAGGAGAAAGTGAAAACATTTGGTCTATGGAAATTGGTTTCATGAGCAGCTGAGAACACTGCATGATAAACCCTTTGCTCTTATGATCTCGTGCATGCTTAAGCAAGCTACACTTATTAAAAAAAAGGAGCATCGTTGAACACTGAGTGCACATGACTTCAATGTGAACGCTTCGCCTACTATAGTGTTGAGTCAGGCTTTTCTCTAAGGCAAATGAGTCCCCACATTCCAGGCAACAATACCCAGAGGCAGGTAAATTAATACTACTGTCAGGCGGGGGGCTAAGGTTCGGAGTATATATCGGCACTGGATTGGCACTGTGTAGCACTTTATGGAATGCCTCCATGACAGCGGGAGCAGCTTTCTTGACTTGGTGCACCAGTGGCACTGACATCTGTGTCACTTGAGGTTGGTTTCGCCTCTGTGCCGATGTCTTCGCTGTAACAGAAGCAGCAACACTGTGGGGGACCAAGTTGAGATTTGCCAAGTGCACAGCTTTGGGAAGAAGGCTGGAGGTGGTTGTGTTGGATGGCTGCATCACAGTACCCTGCTGCTGCCTCTTGACCCCCACTTTTATGGCACCGCCACCGCAGTTTGGCAGTGGAGATAAGGACACGGTGCAAGTGCTGTTTGCAATATCCATTTTCATACTGTCTGAGTAAGGACTCATTACATTTGACAGCTGGATAGCCACAGCAGCCCCATTTTTGGCTGAATTCCTGCCAGCTTCACCTTCTGTAACTGCACTAGTGTCAGGGGATGGGAAAGATTTGATAAACTCTTCGGCAGAAGAGGTTTCTGCAGGTGACTCTTCTGAAGATTTGCCCAACTCATCATTCTCTGGCAAAATTCTAGTTACAGTCCTTTTAATTTCACCGGAAGATGTCTTGATAGTCTTTATTCTAACCTTGGGAATAGCTGGCGGAGAGCCAGCTGCCATGGAAGGAGAGCCTTTCCCACTGCTGTCGCTGCACACACTCCGAGGACTCTCAGGCTGCTTGCTAGCCTTCCTCACCACCTCCAAGGGGCTTCGGGGACTCTTTGGCGACTTGGGCATTTTTGGACTTCCCTTCGTCCCATCTTTAAAAGGACCAGGTTCCTTGGTAAAATTTGGCTGATCGCTTTTTGGAATACACACAACCTTTTTGGCCTGAAGAGCTACTAACGCTGCCACACAGGATGACAACTTGGAATGAGTTGGCTTTAGCCTCTGCCGAGGTGGTATTGATGAAGACGTGTTTAGCTCGGGCACAGACCCCTTGCCGTCTCCTAAGCTGTTGTGAGGGAGGTCTCCAAACACCAAGCCTTCCCCAAGAAAGCTGTTGGTATCTAACAAGTCCTTGCTTGACTCCGCAAACCTCTCCACTGCTCTGTCTTGCTCTCTCCTGCTCATTTCCAGCCTATTCTCTGGCTGGCAGTGGATTTCTGTCTTCTGTTCCTTTTTACAGTACTGATCAAACATGCTTAATTCGGGCTCTGGCACCTTCCTAAGAGGATCTAGGACGGAAGCCCCTGTTGGTACATATATCGAAGGCGGTGGAAAGTAGGGAGTCTGAGCATGTTTGGGTTTATCCCCAATACTGTTCTCTTTGAATGTATCCTCCGGTTCAGGGCTGGAAATGGGGCTAAACTGACTAAATGTTGGCAAAGGCTCTGACTTGGATTCATCCAGTTTATCAGAGTAACTTCTCGAGCTGTCACCATTAATAAAAGTTGACTCAAACTTGCCATAATTATGGACTAAAGCATGAGCCTCAGCTGGCAGATCAGAGCCACGAAATCCATTGTGTAACAGCCCAGTTCCAAGGTGATTCCCGTCCTTTTCTGCCTCAAAAGACTCCTGGCGACTTGTGTTCTTCACTATCACACTCACAACAGGCGCATCAGAGGGAGGCAGAGAGTGGGATAAGGACACATTCTCATCAATGCACATTCCCGATGACTTCAGGTGATTCTCACTCTCCTCCCCAGTTGGTGGAATGGTCTCCTTAGCATCGAGACTAGTTGGATCAGGGATGTCAAAAGCAGCCAAGAGGTCATCAAAGTCGGGGGTTTTCATGTCCCCCATGATGAAAGCTACAATCAAAAGCACAAAAAATACTTTGTCAAGTACATTTCCTCCATGGACAAACACGCACATCAACAAAAATTACAGCTGCCCAAAGCCTGGGGTGTGGGCAGAGCTGCTCCTCAGAGGTGCTTTAAGCAGCATGGTTAGAGACAGCAAGCATCCCCTTATCCCAGGATCCCCACAAACAGATCTGGTACAAGCACGGCCTTTGAAACCACACCCCGCTCATGCAGGGGACATCTTTTCAGCCTGTCAGGTGCACCACTAATCCAAAGCCAGTCATCATCACGAGCCTCCACAGAAGGTTTTAAAGTACATTAGCAGAGGGGGTTTTTTTGTTTGTGTGGGGTTTTTGTAGAGCAGCGATCACTGCTGATTTCTCAACAGATGTCACATATGAAGAACTCAGTCTTTTCTCAAGGATGAAATGCAGGGGCAAACAGGTGGCCCAAGAGACACAGACCTGAAAAGTGAGATGCCTGCCTACCCTGACAATTTAAATAATAGAAGTCTTCAGTAAATATTTAAATACAACAGTTCCAAGAAGGATTATCTGAAGTAGGGGCAATCCTTAATTATGATGTGAAGCAAAAATGGCCCAAAGATAGAATAAAGAACTATACCCCAATTGTAAGATGAAACTCTGCTCCCAGCCAGCACTTTCTTTCTAAGCTCTTCAGAAAGGAAGTGGGGACTTGGAGTACTCAACACAGCAACCTACAACAGCAATAATCAAGCTCTGGTGAGATGCATGAAAACTGACAGCACAGAATTACTAGAACATTTGTGTTCACTACTGTCGGGGATACTGGATTTACCCTGTTAAACCAAAACATTTTCAAGTTGCTACAATACAGAGAAATCACAACTGTTTAATACGCCATTCTTTTAATATATTTTATTTCAACCCCAAATTTATGTGAACTGGTGTGTGCTGTACGTAAGAGAGGGGGAAAAAATCAAAATGTGTCAACAGAACTAGCAGAGCACCAGTTCCTGCTTGGCAAGGAGCATCCACACACAAGGTGAGTCCTGCCACACTCGACTTGGGCTGCAACAATGCTGCCAAAGCCAGCAGCAAGCCAGGGAGACTGAGGGGGTGGCAGGATTCCAGGACAACGGGGAAGAACTGGGAGCAGAGGTGCAGGCAGAGAAGAGAACCATGGGCAAGGCAGAGGGAGAGAGAAAAGCCATCTGATGCCTTCCCAAAAGTGGCCTGATTTAAGGCTGCTGTCATTATTGACGATTCAGTTTAGAAGTTTGTCAAGCATCACAGTCAAACCAAACAAAGCTCAACCCTTCTGGCCAGGCTGCTGGAATGGGGAACAACTCCTGGGCCAGGAGAGATCACTTGGAGTGGCCTTTGAGCTTTAGCTCAGCCGTTCCTCCGGACAAGTCCCAGAGGTGCTGCTTTGGTTAATCTACTGCAAAACGCTCTGCAGAGATTTTACTTGGCTTAAAAGTGGCTTGCTGTGGCTGAACTTAAACTTGTTCTTAAATTAAACCACAAATCTGAAGGTCCACAGAGGGCTAAGCAATAATTTGCCACCATGTCCCTCAAGGAATCACAGCTGGGCATGAAATCCCTGGAAGCCCACATTATCCACACACTCCACATTCCCAGCACCTGATAAGGACTTTGGAAACAACAGAGATTACTGTAGTTGGCAAAGGCATGGACCTGAAACTTCCCATTCCTTTGGGTGGGAAAAGTTGTACCAGCTGGGAGACACAAAATTTCTGGCGCACAAATCTTTCTGCAAGGAAGACACTTCATTCCATAACCTGGCATGACTGAGTTTTGTACAGAAAAAAAATGAGCCTGCCAATCACTCTTGACCTTCCACTTCCCACTCTGGAACACCTCTCTGCATCTGTTTTAAAATGCAAGACAAATCCCATGTATCTTCAGCATCTCAAAATATCCATGACTAGGATGAAACCTTGCTTTTTCAGAAGGATTTGGGTTTGCCTTTGAGTCTTATAAGACACCGTTTTACTGGCTTTGCAATCACGAGGGCACAAGTCTATACCAAAGTATTTCTCCACAGAACTGCATCTTAAACTTGTCATACACAAAGCTACACTTTCTCCGAATAAAGTAAGTTTTGACCCAGATTCTAGAGAATAAGTATCTTATTGACAGAAGTGATTTTTAAAGAACATAAATTTAAACTTTTGACTTAACACTATATACTTCTGACAACAGATAACAAACAAAAAAAGGATATTAAAGGAAATTATGTAAACTAGCCTGTGAGGAAAGCTGAAAATAAAGACCTTTGTCCTTACTCCACCATTCTTGTGCAAAGGACTGCAAACCCAAGCTTAGGAGACAATGAAAACAAGGAGGTTGTGACTTGCAAAGCAGTAGGAGGTGAAAAAAGTGAGCAAAGGAGAAGGACTTAGGGAGTACAGAGTGTATTTCAGTGTGCAAACTCAGCCTCACTCTAGCACATTTCTCCAGGAATCAGGAAACCTGGAAGGCTCCAAGGCATCCAAAAAAGCCCTGGGGAAGGATGTCAAATCCCAGTGCCATGTGCTACAGAGAAGCTTCAAAGTCAAGGAGAGGCACCACAGGACCCACTTCCTCCACTCACTCTTTACAAACCTTCTGCTAGCAGTGCTATTCTCAGGGACTTCTGGAGACTGGGAGTAGATGCTCTGCAGCTTTGAAACTATGGAGGAGGTTTGAGAATGCCACTTAATAGTGAAGCATGAAACCCCAGTTACACCAAGGAAACTAATCACAGAATGGCTTGGGTTGGAAGGGACCTTGATGACCATCTAGTTTCAATCCCCTGCTGTAGGGGATTATTTATCATGTACATTGCCATTACCAAATATTGGTAATTCTGCAAAACAACAGTGTACAAGGGAAAACATCTGCCAAGGGCTGCTCAAGCCCGGCTGGTGTCTCCGGGAGGGCATGCAGAGACTGCATGACACTGGAATCCCACGGGAAGGCAGGGATAGCAGGAGCCGAGCAGCGCGGGGAAGGCAGGGATGGGGAAGAGGCCGCTGTCAGGGCTGCGGAGGAGGCACGGGGCGGCTGGCGGAGGGCTGGACCGGAGGGCGGCTCAGCGGCAGGCGGGACCCGGGGCTCCACAACACCCGTGGAAGTTTCATGAGCGCAGTGCGGCTCCCGGTGCGAACGGGGCCGCTGGGCTGGGGACTCGTCCGGCCCGTGGCACTCCTACACACACAGAGACACACACCCCCACACACGTCCTCACACACCACCCCCATCCCACGCCGTCCCCACCCGAGACAAAGGCCGGCCCCGCCGCCCCCCGCGCTGACAGCCCGGCCCGGCCCGGCCCCGCCGCACGTGGGCCGCCCGCCGAACTTAGTTTGTGCCGGCGCCGCCGGGCCGGGCCGGGCCGGGCCGCCGCGGGCAGCGCAGCCGATCGGGGCAGGGAGCTGAAGAACGGGGAGCGGTGGCGGCCTGCGGGCCGGAAGAGCGGTGCGGGCGCGCAGGGCTCGGTGCGCCGGCGGCGGGGCCGCCCGCCCTGCCCGCGGGGCGGCAGCACCGCCCGGCCGCGGGGCCGGCGGGAGGGAGGGAGGGAGGGAGCGCGGGAGGGCGGAGGGCAGCGGGAGGGGCGGGCCCGGCGCGGCCGGGCCCGGGCGGGCGGGCAGGACTCACCCACGCAGGCAGCTCCTCCGGGCCCACCGGGCCCGCGCGGCCTCACCCCGCACCGGGCACCAACGGCCGCAACATGGCGGCGGCGGCGGCGGGTGGGGCCGGGGGCGGGGCGGGGCGGGCCGGGCAGAGCGGAACCGCCCCCCCTTCCCTTCCCTTCCCTTCCCTTCCCTTCCCTTCCCTTCCCTTCCCTTCCCTTCCCTTCCCTTCCCTTCCCTTCCCTTCCCTTCCCTTCCCTTCCCTTCCCTTCCTTCCCTTCCCTTCCCTTCCCTTCCCTTCCCTTCCCTTCCCTTCCCTTCCCTTCCCTTCCCTTCCCTTCCCTTCCCTTCCCTTCTCCCCGGGGGGCTCCTGGCAGAGGCGTTCACGGGCCCGGCCGGTCCCGCCGCCCCTGCCGCCGCCGAGGCCCCGCGCTCCCGCTGTTCTGAGGTTCCCTCACCAGAGCCTGCCCGAGAGCGGCTCCCGCTGCAGTCCCCGCTCCGCGTCTTCAGCTCCTTCCCCGCTGTGCCCCACACCCGCCAGGTCGCGGTTTGCTCACAATTGCACCGATCGACCCACTGATCTCGCATAAAGGCGAGAGCGAAGATGAGAGGAGCTCCAGGCTGGGGAGCCTCACCCTGATCCCTGGGAAGGCGGCGGAGCCAATAACCCCTGGAGCCGTTTCCAAACACAGCGAGGACAAGGAGATCTCTGGGATCTGTCAGCACAGGTTACAAAGGGCTTCCATCCCTGATGCCTTCTGCATCGAAATTACTAGAATGGTAGGTTTAGATTAGAGGTTAGGGAGACATTCTTCCCTGTGAGGGTGGGGAGGCCCTGGCACAGTTTGCCCAGAGCAGCTGTGGCTGCCCCTGGATCCCTGGAAGTGTCCCAGGCCAGGGTGGACAGGGCTCGGAGCACCCTGGGCTAGTGAAAGGTGTCCCTGCCCATGGCAGGGTCTGGAGCAGGATGAATTCAAGGCCCTTTCCAAGCCAAACCGATTCTATGACAAGTTAGGGGATGAGGAGAGGGTGATGGATATTGTTTGTTCTCCACCCATGTCCAGTTCTGGGCTCCTTAGCACAAGATTGACTGGAGAGAGTCCAGCAAGGAGCCATGGAGAGGATGAAGTGGTTGAAGCACCTCCCCTGTAAGGAACAGCTGAGAGAGCTGGGGCTGTTCATCCTGTGGAAGAGCAGAGTCGGGAAGGGCTCATCCAGGTCTGCAAATACCTGCAGGGAGGGTGCAAAGAGGAAGGAGCCAGGTTGTTCCCAGTGGTGCCCAGTGCCAGGACTGGAGGCCATGGGCACACACTGATCCACATCAGGAAATACTTCTTCCCTGTGATGGTAACCACAGGCTGGCTCAGGTTGCCCAGGGTGGCTGTGGAGTCTCCATCCTTGGAGGTGCTCAAAAGCAGTTGGGATTTTCTGAACAGCCAGCATTAGCTACCCCAGCTCAAGGCTGGACCAGAGGACCTCAGGAGTTCTTTTCCAACTTCAAGTACTCTAGGATGCTGTGATGCATTTTGTATCAAGGCGTGGATATGCAAACTCCTATCATAATAAATCAACAGTATTTCTTGAGGTTGTCTTCCTGTGAACTGACATTTTAACCATCTACCCCCAGCACCAGGCATACAGCATTGCTCATACTTCATTTATTTCTCATTTAGTTAAATAATTATTTTTTCTTTGTCATCATGGGCAAAAAAAATCTTTTTTTCTAGCTTCACGCTTCACGTCCTTGATTTCTGAATCAATGTCATCACTTTTCTTCTTTTGGAGGCAATAGCCTGTTTCCAAAAACGAGCAAAAGGACAAAGGGAATCACAATCAGAAAACATTTTCAAAATTGCAACTGTTACCTCTAATTTTAGCATATGTATATGAAAACCTCTAAATTGTATCTAGTATGAGAGCTGACATTTGTTACACAATTTACTAAGAGCTGTCGCAGTCCTGAACAAGTTGTAGCTTGCCGGAAAGCTGTGGTAATTTGAAGGATTGTGATAATTAAGAAATGTAATGCCAATGGGAATTTAGCTCCATCCCTCAGGTGGCCAAGGAGGACAGACAGCCCTGGAGTGGCTGGGGTCCCTTCCTCAAGACAGCAGATACACAAAATGCTCTAAGGATAGTCTATGTCTTTCAGCATGATCTAAAAATCACCTTCCTCTTCTTATTTGTTGTCCAGTGTGGTGGTTTGACATATCTGGAAGCAAAACATCTTCCTCCTCTTTGTTTTTCTTTTAAAATTTAAATTTGTCCCTTTGGGCTTGTTTTGTAAAGGCTGTGGAATCCCCACCCCTGGAAGTATCCAAGGCTGGACAGGTCTTGGAGCACCCTGCTCTAGTATAAAGTGTCCCCATTCATAGCAGGGGTGTGGAACAGGATGAGCTTTAAGGTCCCTTCCAACCCAGACCAGTCTAGGATTCTGTGATTTGATGTGGAAAAGACAAAAGCTGTTGATCTAAGGAGACAATGTACAGAGCAGCCCCCTGCACTTGGTGGATGCTGAGGCCTAAGCAGGGAGCAACATTGGTGGGACCCACTGGTGGCACCTCAGAGAGGGAAGCCCCTGGATTAAACACTCTTAAGCTGTGTCCAGCTATATGTAAGACCTTAACTTTTAATTCTTAACCTGCTTGGGGTTGTTGGTTCTTGCTTTTTAGCTGGGGGAAATGGTTCTTCCCAGGTGCTAGTGTGTTGAAAAGTGTATGGAGGCAGGCAGGCTGGCAAGGACAGTGAGACCCATTTTATTTTTAATAACAACAAACATTACAAAGTCTTGAGCATTCATGTCTAAGCTACTGTCAGTTTTGACATCAGAGATTCGTTTGTTTCTGCCAGACATCTATGTTGTAGCGAACTACCTTGAGCTGGTTGCAAAAACTCGCCTGTTACAAAACTATAATTAATGTTTCAAAAACTCCGGGGAAGATTTGTTATTGGCACGGTGAGTATGAATCCCCAGACACAAACATTCCTCTAAGATAACACCGTAGCCCTTGGTGTTATGTACACACACATGAAAAAAGTGGTGTAACTTAAATCAGGGTAATTAATTACACAGATGTCTTCTGTATATATTTAAAACCATTTACACTTATCACTTTGGCTTTTTGGTCTCCCTCATTCCAGGGCCTGCCCTCTTAATTCCCCTAAACTGTTTTTTCCATCTTTTTCCTTATTGACACAAATATTGATGAGCTGGTGCATGTCTTCAATGAAAATCCCTCTGTACAACCACTGGTCCACCATAAACACAGGAAAACCTGCTTCTACTCCACATCCATGCTCACTCAGCACAACTTGTAGTGGTTGTGATACTCTCTTGCAGTGATGGAGCCCTGACCTTAAATTCCTGAGTCAAATCTAAGAGAACAAAACCATGTATCCCAGTGAGCTTGGGAACAGGAATAAGAACCATAATGTGGCAAAATCCCAATAGAGAAGAACTATTTCATACCCTGACATGCTTCTGAATCCCATTTGTTGGAATTTGGTGAATTCCCAGGTGGAGGCATGAGATTTCTTGCAGGCAGGTTGCAGTCAAGCCCTGCTGAAATGCCAAGGATACACGCTTCCCATATCAGCTTTTTCTGGTGCAATGCCAAACCCATTCTACGTTAGCACAGAGGATTGCACAGGGGGTCCTTGCTTGCCCAGAGCTTGGAGCGTGTCTGCAGCCTGCAGTTCTCATGGGTGAAGAAAACTGGCTGGCTGGAAGTTATCCTCCTGGTCTTCTGGTGGAGAAGAGCTGTCATGAGCACTTGGGGGCTCCTCATGGCTGCTGAACATGTGTGGGATTCACAGTGACCCCTCTCCTTCTCCAGCTGCCTCTGAATGGACTCACTCCCACGCCCCAGCCTGTGGCAAGAGAACCTTCTCGAGACGCTCTCCTGATGAAGCAATGCCTCCTGTGGCTGCAGTGGCTGGGGAACACCGTGGTTTCCCCATGCATTTCCCAGGCTGACAAGGGCTTGAGCTGTTCTTGCCTTTGTGCCTCCACCTGCCCCATGCAAAGGCAGTGGGACAGCTCTGTGAACCAGAGAGAGCTGATCCAGGCTGGTAAACCTCTTCAAGGAGGGAATTAAACTTTGAATTATCCCTCATCATAGAATCATAGATTCATTCCAGCTGCAAAGGCCCTCTTAGATCATCGAGTCCAACTATTAATGCAGCACTGCCACGTTCACCACTAAACCATGTCCCCAGGTGCCACATCCACTTGTGTTTTAAATCCTTCCAGGGGTGGGGACTCCACCACTGCCCTGGACAGCTGGGTCAGTGCCTGAACATCCTTTCAGTGAAGAAATTTCCCTTAATATCCAACCTAAACCTTCCCTAATACAACTAGAAGCCATTTCCTCTTGTCATCCTGGGAGCAGAGCCCAAGCCCCACCCAGCTGCCCCCTCCTGTCAGGAGTTGTGCAGAGCCAGAAGTCCCCTCCTGAGCCTCCTTTTCTCCAGGCTGAGTCCCCCCAGCTCCTGCAGCTGCTCCTGGTGCTCCAGCCCCTTGCCCAGCTCCATTCCCATCTCTGGACGTGCTCCAACCCCTCAACATCTTGTCATGAGGGGCCCAGAACTGCCCCCAGGATTCAAGTTCAGCTCACACATAGTCTGACAAGTGGTAGTGTGGGCAAAAACAAAGACTGAGAGGTACTTGACTCCCAGGTGGGATCCAGCTGGAGGGAGAGCTGCTGGGGTAGAGGGACCAGCAGCATCAAGCCACACCCCACATTGCTCCTGGAAACTCTCACAAACTTTGGTAAAAGGTTTAAACAAAGCTTGAGAACATTGCAGGAAAAATAATTCCATAAGGGTTCTCTGTCTTCAACTGCCAGTAGCACACTCCAAGCAATATCATTGCAGTTGTATCTTGAAAAACTTCCCCAGGAAAGCTCAGGAAATTGCTTTGCACACTCACAGAAAAGGGATGGGACTGTAGATGCTGGCACAAGGTCAGCACATGGTAGAGGTGTAGCTGAGGAGTGAGTGGGATGTTTTTCCAACAGGAGGAACAGGCAGCCAACAAGATCAGGTTTAAGGTAAGGTAGGAAAGAGGTCAGTAGATTAAATTCTTCTGCTTCAAATTATCGCACAGAGCTAGGAGAGGCATTTATGAGAACATATGAATACGTTTCCAGATGTTAAACAAGGATTAAGGGCAACATAGCCCCAAAACAAGGGGCTAGTGTACAGAAGCTAATTCCACTACTAGAGTAAGGATAAAATAGCTCAGAAATGAGGGTTTCTGGTGCACAGGCCCCACCCCTCACTCCCCCCAACCCGTGCCACTTCTTCCCTGGCACTTACATACTTAAATACCCTTCTTCGTGCTTCTGGTTGTTGAAATGACCTCTGGCATTTTCCCAGGTGCTCACAAGGAACCCTGCTGATCCTCCCCGTGGCATAGTTAAAAGGTCATGGGGGACTGGGAGGCATCTGAGCAATTTAATATGCAGCTGGGTTCGAGTGGGGTGGGTCCAGCCCCAGGCAGGGCAGCACATTCTGAGGCTTTATCCCACAACCTGTGCTGAGGAGCAGGATTTTAAACTGTTCCCAATCTGGAGCAGAGGCTTTTCTAATAACTGGGGACAAGAGGATAGCTAGGAACCACAGGATTTTTCTTCTTGCTCTCCAAACCTTCAAGTTTCTAGGAATCCCACAGGTGAGGCACAAAAAATCCTCTAGGTTTGACTTCCACCCTGCCATACTAATGTCATACTAATGCATTTGGATCAGGAGCTGGGATCCACCTGCGTGGTATCCCAATGCATGACCCCTGAGGAATTCAGTGTGCTCCAGGGCTCTCACTCCCTGGGTAATCCTTCCACCAAGCTCTCAGTCAAGGGAAAGACCAGCACCTTGGAAAAACTGCTAAATTTTCAATTTGGTTTCGATTTTGTTTACACAAATGTCCTGGCTTTAACTTTGTGTCTTGCATTGTTTCACACATGAGGGCAGAGCGCCCCATATCTGCTGCAGGGGGATAAATGTAGACAAGTCAGCGCAGCTTCAGCCTCCTACATGTCCTGTGCCTCCTGCATCACCTCTGCCTCTACTTATTTCACCTGCACCTCCTCTTCCTCCTGCATTTCCTGTGCCTCCTGCATCTTCTCTCCCTCTTGTGTTGCCTCTCATTCCTGCCTTGCCTTTGGCCCTTGCTCACCTTTAGTTCTGCATCCTCTGCCCAGTGGGGCAGCCCATACCGGTACCACACAGGACACAGTTCCATGCCCCTGTGAAAGACTTTCTGGATCACTGGATGGAATTAATCAGCAGGAATTACTCCCCTGGAGAGGTCACAGCTGTCAGCCACATGCTGTGGGGCTGCAGCTCCTGAGAAGCAGTATTAGATGCAATATCAATTTCCTAAAAGTCAGAAAGTCATAGAATCCCAGAATGGTTTGGGTTGGAAGGACCTTAAAGCTCATTTTGCTTCACCTGCTGTGATGGGCAGGGAGACCTCCCACTAGACCAAGCCCCATCAGTGCACAGGGTATCATAAGAAGTGCAGGGCTCTGAATACTTTTTGTTCAAACCAAGCTTTGAGAGAAAGGAACAAAGATAGGAAACTATAAGGGGGTGTGACAAATGGGCTTTTCAGGAATTAAAAAAAAAATAAAACAATTGTAAGATTTGTTAAGAAGAAAATTCTTTTTATGCCTTAGAAACATGACAGACAATGCTGAGAAAGCACTGTAATGGCACAGTCAAAAGTCATCTGAAAATGAAGTTTTCCATTGTGGGCCTCCTTTGACCCCATTAACTGCGGACATTACAGCATTTCATGTCCTTTTTTTATCCTGTTAGGCATCCATGGGGCCTCAGTTAAGCTGGGCTGTCACTCAGGACACTGAGCAATGGGGCTGTGGTGGCTCTGATGTGTCAGCAAAAGATGTTTAACTGTAGGACAAACAAATGTCTCTGGCCTTCAAGAAACAATTTTCCAAAGGTTGAACTCATATTGACTCATGCCAGTGTAGCAGAGAAATGCACTCAGCACTCTCATTGCAGCCTAACAGGAATCAGCAGCATTTCCTGTGAGGGAAAATAGTGGAGAGGAGCCAGGAATGAATAAGCAGCCTCATTGCATTGTGGATCATAAAACCTCTTCCTATGAAAGGGCTAAGTAGGGCTTGTTAAAGCATTGATGAAGCCAAAGAATAAAATTACAATGAGGTATACAGGATAAAATTATAACCTTCAGGTAGGTAAGTAGGTTGAGGTAGGAAGGAAACAGGTAATAAAGGAATTGGCCTCTTTGGGAGGCCTTATGTCATCTTCTCCTGGAGCATCTTTCCCTGTCATAGAATATCCAGTGAAGAAACCTCTCCTAATATCCAACCTAAACCTCTCCTGGTGTAGCTTAAGGCCATTTCCTCTGGTCCTACTGCATCACACGAGGACCTCAGAAAGAGCTGCTGCACTTCTGCCCACGACACAGGGACCATGTGTGTCTGGGACAGTCTTTTTGTTCCCACCACTGAAGTGGCCTGAAGGAAGCCACTGGAGTTTGCTGATGTGCTGGAGGGTTGTGATGTGTTTCTGAATGTCCTACGGGAGGAGCTGAGCTGGGCTGATGCCAAATCATGGCAATGGATGAGCATTAAATAGGGATTTATTGTCTCAGGGTCCCATGGCTGGCAGCAAAAACATGGTGACTCCCCAGCACAGAACCTAGACAAGTTCAACCTTTCAACACTGTGAAATCCTGCAAGAATCTTTAAATTAGTGACATTTGTTGGCAATGGTACCTACAAGCAACAGTTTTTCTTCTAGTCAGAGAAGAAGAGGAAGTGAGAACATATGAGGGAAAACAACATGGTGGCACCAAGGTCAGTGGAAAAAAGGAGGGGGAAGAGGTGCTCCAGGCATCAGAGCTGAGAACCCTCTGCAGGCTGTGGTAAGTCCACAGGGGATGCACAGCTCCACAGCCCATGGGAAAAGTGCTCACACCAGAGCGGGTGGGTGCCAGAGAAAGCTGTGATCTAGTGGGAAACCCAAATAAAGAGAGAAGGCCTCTGCTTCCAGAGACAGAGAAAGAGAGAGAGAGAGAGAGAGAAAGAGAGAGAGCCCTTGCTCCCAAACTAGAGCAGCCTAGCCTTAGAGGAGTGCACCCCGTGGATGAGTGACCCATGCCACACGAGTTTTGGGAATGCTGTTTGTCCGTGGGAGGGACCCCACGGCATAGCAGGGACAAGACTCCTGCCCCTGAGCAAACAAAAGATCTCAAGTGACAAATTGACTAAAACTCCCATGCCTTGTCTCCCTGTGCTGTTGCTGGGAAAGAGGGAGGGGCTGGGGAGAAAAAAGGTGTTTCAAAAGCTTATTTTACTTCTCATTATCCTCCTCTGATTGCTAATGATAAATTTACTTTATACTTTTAAATTTGAATCTGTTTTGCCCTTAGAGTGTTTTTTCCCCCAAGTCCTTATCTCAACTCATGAGCCCTTCATTAAATTTTTTCCCCCTCTCATCTGCCCAGCTCTCTGTAAGAAGAGAAGAGAATGACTTTTGTGGGTGCCTGGCATTTGGCCAGTGTTAAACCATGACAGAGTGAAAGGCATCCATGTCCCAAGGAATTCCAGACCCTGACAGACACAGGCATGCAGACCACTTAGAAGGATTTTTCTTTCAATAAATCTTCTCTTCTGCCTAAAATCCTTCCATTTTCCCTCCCAGACTGACTGAAATTTTCAGCATGTTTTTGGAGTTCTCCATTACATCCTTGGTAGAAGTGCCCCAAACCAGTGCAAAGGCTGGACCCTCCAGGTGTGATCTCACTTTTGATGCAAAGTGATTAATTTTGACATTACCATTTCACAAGCACAGATGCTTCATTCAAGGGCTATAGCACAAAAGAGATTAAGTGTGTGCATCAAGAATTAAGGCCCTGGCACAGGTTGCTCCATCCCTGGAAGTGTCCAAGGCCAGGCTGGACAGAGCTTGGAGCAACCTGGGACAGTGAAGGTGTCTCTGTCCGTGGCAGGGAGTGGGACAAGATGAGCATTAAGGTCCTTTCCAACCCAAACCAGTCTGTGATTGTGATTCACTGAAATTCAAGTACAGGCTGGGGCTTTTCCCTGCCCACAGTGGAGCTGGAGCCTGGGCCATAGTTACAGCTGAGGGTCATTCTGCTCTTCTTGTGAATTTGGCCACCACAGTGGGGCCACGGTGACTCTGTGGCTGGCAGGAGAGGGAGATGGGGGCAGGCAGTGCCAGGGGGAGCCCAGCAGCGATGCCAGTGGGATGGTCTGGGCAGGTGGGCACCCACGAGGCTGCAGCAGCTCTCAGCAGGCCCAGGAGGGCTCCAGGGGCTCCATTGTGCCAGCAGTGCACTGGGAAAGACTATCTGCAAACTGGAAATGGTGTGTTAGAGATTAAATTGCAGATTTTCCCTAATTAACACAGATGCCAGAGAGACGTTTTTAACAGGATGTGAGAAACTCAAGAGGTGTTGAATTTGTACAGCCAGTGTGCATGAAAAAGCCCCATGGGCAAGAGAACACGATCCTCCCAGAGGAGCTGCTCTGCACTGTCTCTGACCCCCCAGGCATGACCCTCCAGGGACACCTGCAAAATAACCTCAGAAAAGAGAATTATAACTTGCATTAATGCAGTGTGCCATTTGTATCTCCACCAAACACAAGGGATGCACCACCTTCTCTGCCTCTGCTCTTGGCTCAATGCTTTTGTATCCCACAGGCAGTGACAACCACCTTCTCTTTCCCCAGCAGCTGTGAAAGATGTAAACCTGCTCTCAGCTAGCCTGCCCTCTGCTCTCCAGGAACAATTTCTTATTAGCACAATAAAACTACGCTTAGAAGGACTTTTCCTTGTGAGAGTGGTGAGACCCTGGCATAGAGAAGTTGCAGCTGCCCCATCCCTGGAAGTCTTCAAGGCCCAGTTAGAGGGGCAATGGGTGGAGTTCCCTGCTGAGAACCAATTCTTTGCTGATGTTTCCCTTGTTAGGAATGATGACTGGCTGCCTCCTACTATGTTGGTGCTCTGCTTTACTCTGGAAGGCAGGGAGGCTCTCAGACACCACAAGCTCCCTGCACAACATTGGATCTGTTTGGCACACAAGGTCTAACAAAAATCAAAACCTGGGGAAAAGACCAGTAGCAACAAAAAAAGTAGAGGAAATCATGGGCTTGGGAGGTCCTTCCCAGAGGACAGAGTGAGTGGAACATTATTTCTGTAGCTGTCTTACCCAGAAATTCACTCCTGCAGGGTGTATCAAAGGTCCCTCTGGACTGGAGGCTGCAAATGGGCTGTGCCACAGCTGAGCTGCTCCCTGTGCAGCCTGGCACAGGCTCACGGGCAGGGCCCTGCAGGGAAGGACATGAGCAGTGCCCAGGGGTGCACTGGTGCTCACTGCTGCAAGCACAGGAGGTGTGGACCTGTGGATGCAGCTCTTGACCCTCACACAAGGGTCATCAAAACATGCACATCAAAATACACAAGGGCATCAAAAGATGCACATGAAACCCTTGCAGACTCCCAGAGTGCTCCAACACCTCAGCTCTCCTCCAGACCTCTAAAATCACAGGCACATTTACATTCCTCAGGAAGTTTCCACAAAAAAGCAGTCCAAGGACTTCCCAGAGGATCACCTGAAAAGATGCAGAAGCCTCAAATATCTGAAGGTAAAAGCAGTCATTAAAAAGGCATAAACAAAGGGCATCATGATTGTTTTGCCACGTCTCCAGACTTGAAAGGAGGCTGAAATAACCTTTATATAATCCCATTAGCATTTTCCAGCAAACACAAGGCATTTTAGGAGGCTGAACAATATCTTTTCTTATCATCCAGAAAGGTTACAGGTATTTATCTGATTTAATATTTTATAATTTATATTAAGTGACACAGAAGAATAAAGCAGGCAGGCCAAGAGATGGCTGCAGTGACACAGCAGAAGCCACCCTCTGCTCTTCCAGCAATGCCCAATGGCCTGGGCATGAGCCAGGTCTGGGAACAACATCCCTTGACCATCATCTCTTCAGAAAAGTGGATTTTGTGTTGTGCCCTGCTGTGGTGAGGACCCCAGATGCCAAGGTCAGCTCCCCACACTTACAACGCTGCCACTTGACCCTATTTCAGTGTCACATTTGCAGGAGCTGGTGCTCTACCATCATATTCCCAGGGGATAAAACATCTTATGGAATCATAGGATCATGGAATTATTAAGGTTGGAGAAGCCCTCCAAAATCATTGAATTCAGCTGCCAGGTTCACCACTAAACCATGTCCCCAAGTGCCACATTTGCATGTTTTCTGAACACTTCCAGGGATGGCGACCCCACCACTGCACTGGACAACCTGTGCTAATGACTGACCACTTTTTCTGTGAAGAACTTTTCCCTAAAATCCAATCTAAACTTCCCCTGGTACAGTTTGAGTCAGTTTCCTCTCATCCTATCCCTTGTTCCATGAGAGCAGTGCTCAACCCCCACCTGGCTGCACCCTCGTGTCCAGATTTATGGAGCCCGAGAAGGTACCCTCTGAGCCTCCTTTCCTCTGGGCTGAGCCTCCCCAGCTCCCTCAGCTGCTCCAGACCCTTTCCCAGCTCTGGACACACTCCAGCCCCTCAATGTCTGTCTTGGAGTGAGGGTCTCCTGCAGTGATTGTATCTTCAGCCTGCCTGTGCTCTGTCCTGCCCCTTGCTGGGAACACAGCCTTGACCAAACTGCTGCATCCTCCACAGAGGCAAGGAGTGAAATGCCCCTTCTTTGGAAGAGGGAACATACAGGGATTTGGTCTCAAAAATAGGCTCCAGTTCCCAGGAGGACCCAAGGCAGGCAGTGCTGATGTTGTCAGGCACCAATGCTCTCCACAAGGGTGACTCTGAATCTGGAGGAGCAGCAGGTCAGGAGCAGCATCCCTCTCTGGGACCCCACATTGTCCTGAGGGTAGGTGGGGACCAGGGACCAGGCACCTCATTTCTCCAGCCATGCGGTCCTTGAGCAAGCCTTGCCTATTTTTCATCTCTGGTAGGGAATGGAAATGAGGAGGTTATTCTTTGCTGAAACATTCTGGAAAGTCAGAGCTGAAATCTCTCACTTTTCCATCTGTTTATTTTTACCACTTAATAACACGTCTGTCTCGTCAACTATTCCTGACACTGTGGCAAGAAAATCCAACACAGGGAAGACAGATTTATCAAAGAGACATTAGCTCTTCCTCACTGTGTGACACCATGTCAGCTCTCCTCCTGCACATGAAGTCTGGTCTGTAATTTCAAAGTGTGTCTTCTATCTCTTTGAGGGGGTGATATGACCAATATATTTGAAATTGTTGCTTGTTATGTGAAAGGTTATCCAAACTGTGAAGATAAGAAACAGTCTCAAGTGCTTCAAGGAACCTCCTTTTTTTTTGATGTGTTTTTCTCTTCGCTGCCATATGATGTTACAGACCTAATTTCAAGAGATTAGTAACAATGGCAAAGCAGTCATTGAAATAATCTGTGATAGAGGACAGAACTCTGGGACAACATGAAAAGTCTGTGCTATCAATAATTTCTCACCATTAATAAGAAAATTGTGGTCTGCAAGCTTCACTGTGACACCAAACCTGCTCCTGCTTTCCCAAGAGGTGCCCCAGGTCTCTGCAGAGGTGCCTGAAGGAAGTTCAGCAGTGTGAATTTCCTTGAGCCATTTTGGGTTTAATAGCTCAACAGTGGATGGCTTCACTCACCCCTTTTGTTTCAAACTGTGCTCCTGGTTTCTTTCCTGAACCATCCACCTGATGGGGAGGCCTGGAAGAACTGAATCTGAATAATCTGACATTTCAAATGAACTGTTTTGCCACTTTTTTCTTATTTTCTTGCCTAGCCATGACTTTTGTTTTGTAAGTTTTGAATCCAGCTAAGCTGAACCGATGCCCTTGTTTGTTTTTTGGACAGGGAGCAGGGATATTTCACTGAAACAGTGTTGAAACTCCCCGTTTGGTGTTCAGAATTACTCAGAACACAAGCATTCTTCTGGGCATATTCTGGTAGCACAACCACACTGTTAGTTGGGAGGGACATAATCCAACATTCTGTTGGAAGCAGGACAGCTGCCAGCGTTGGGAGAGGAGAGCAGAGCTGTGGATGTCTCCATGTGCAAAACATGATGGATAAAGGTGGTGACACACTGGCTGTGAGAGCAGTACCTGGGTTTAGTGATTCCCTCCTCACTAGAACTGAGCCTGGCTCTCCCATTTCTCCCTTGGGCATGGTCCTGTTGTGCTCAGAGGAGCTTGACTTCCAGTACCTGGTGATCCAGAAGTGATCCTCAGCTAATGAAAGCAACGCTCAGCATTTCACAAAACAGGTGATTCCCATTTCCCATCAGCTCACAAGATCATCCTCTTCACTCCTTGTCCACACAAAAGGCAGCATCAGCTTCTAGAGAACAGGATAACCTGTCCTTTGGGCAGCTCCTTCCTTCCCTGGGAGTGAAGGGCTTCTGGATGCCCTCAGGATCTCCCCTGCCTGTATGAGAAACTACTGCCATAAACTATGTAAAGAAGACCAAAACCATGTTGTTGAATCTTGGAATTTCCCTGCACAGCACCATGCACTCTGCCCTTATGAGGAGTAGGAAATGATCTGGCAGGTTCTGTACATCATGGAAAACCTCTTATTGCAGAAAATAAGGAGAACCTACCAGTTTTTGAAGAGTAAATTCAGATTTACTTCTGTGAGGGACATGGATTTGTTCCAAAAAGATGGAAAGTGTTAAGTAATCTGGTAAATGAAATTACTCAATATTGCCCCATACTGAAATTTTTCCCCCCAGAAACGTCTCCTGAAATGAAGGGCCTGTCTTGTGTTTCTTCCTTTGGTTGAGGCTGGAATGTGGTTGATACGACACAAATCCATCTTTTCTTTCATTTGATCACAAAAATGCCAACTGAAAACAAACTTCAGGAATCTGCTGCCAACAGAAGGGTGCCAGGCTGGAGTGGATCTGCCAGCGCACGTGTGACACCCCTCTTGACTGCACTTGGCCCCAGGACTTTCCAGTAACAAACTGAAATTCCCTGATTTCCCTGATTTTCACTGCCTCTTAGGTACACTCGCCTTGTTTTGTCAGGAACTGCCAAACCTCAGCAAATGAGTGGAGAACTGCATCCCAAATTAATTCTGTAGCAGAAGAACACATCAGACTGTTGTCCAAGGTCCTTCCCTTCAACACATCTGCCCTAGCAGAGAGGAAAAGAAGGGCATCTATCTAAAAATAAAACTATTGAATATTTAGGTGCTGCTATTTTCATCATATATTGTTTTAAAGCTTCAGCTCACTTTTTAAAGACTTGGGTGAAGGAAAGCACCTGTATTACCTACAAAAATGCTTCTAAGTGCTATTTGTAACCTCTGGGCACAGACTGGCCCAGAAACGGAGCGGAGGGCAAAGGCTGTGGAAGGAAAGGAGGCAGAAAGGGAATGTAAACTGGAGCTGATGTCTTGATCCTGCTTTGTCTGCTGCTGCCTGAGCCCTCCTCCCTTCCCAGCTGTGGAGCCCAAGGGGCAGATCAGAAAGGATGTGACTAAGGGACACTGGGAATCTCGGGATGCCTTGTCTGTCCTGGATGCTGGGAGATGGAAATACAGATTTCCAGGAAAATGAACTGGCACTAAACAGTTTAACCACCATGAGGGAGTTTGGATTTCACATGTAAAGATGGAGATGAAGGATCCATAGTTCCATCCCCTCCTACAATGACTCCAGCTGAGGTCCAGGACACAAAGTCCACCTTTGCAATTCAGCAAGCTCCCAGACATGACAAACCATCATCTCAGGGAATGAACCACCACGGGAATGTGGTGCTTCCCCTGGGCTTGGCTCCAGGGTCTCCTTGGAGCAGCAGAACTGATGACAGGGACAAGCACTGTGCTTGGCACCAACACAGGAGACCACCTAAGCCACCCAAGAGCCACGCTTACAAAGCAGATGGAACAAATCACAACAAATGAGGACTTTTTTTTATCTACACATTTCACCTGAAATCATGTCATCCTATCTAGTCACTTGATCCACCTTCTAAATCCAAACTTCAGTATTTTTAGTTACCTAAAAAAAGAAACAATGCTCACCCAGAAGAGCCTAGAAGCTCAGGCTGGAAGCATGAAACCCCAGCAGATCAATATTAAATTACACCCTGGCAATTAGAGGGAAAATAAACACAGTTAACTCAGAGCCATGTGAAGCATCGTGCATTAAAAACACCCAATAGTGTTTTATTCAGAAAAAATGAACAGCTTTGCTTTGAATGAGATAAACATTCACATTAGATGACACTTGGCGTGATAATGTGAGCCAGGAACAAGCCATGCCTCAGTACCTCAACAGCACAGGAGGGTGTGAATAATCCTCAGAGGCAACAAGAGCCCCAGCTTCTCCCAAATGCCCGCTGAGCCATTCCCACTGACCTGTCCCCAGTGCCTGCTGGTGTTGAGTTGATCTTTGGTTCATCCTGAAATAAGTTTATTATTTTCTCATTTAGCTTCTCTATCAGGCCATCTTATTTAAAATATATCCCCTGAATCTTTTTTTGGTTTTGAGCTTTAGATTTTTTTTCTAGGAGACTTTCTAGTCTGCAGCCAGCTGGGGCCCCTCTTCTTTCCCTTGGCTCTACTCACTGTGAGAAGAATAAAAGCCTCCTCTGTTCTCTTTGGACAGGTTTCCAGCACTTGTAGAATGGTTTATCGGGAAGCAACATTTCAGATTTTTCTATGCTGCAACTGACACCACAGAGAGGGATGTATCATCACTGAAGGACAGCAAAACTGAGAAAGTTCTGCCTCCAACCCTCTTTTAAAGCAAGACAGAGCACAGGCATTCTTCCCACCCTGCTGCCCTTGACCTCTCAAGAAGTTCTGCCCTCCAGCCTCTTTCTTGCACAGAACCACAGCAGCCAGCAGGGATCTCCAGTGGTCTCTGGTCCAGCCCTCAGCCAGCTGGATCAGGTCATTGGCAGCTTCTGAACTCCAAAGTGAACCTTCCTCCAAAGATGGAGACCCCACACTTCCCTAGGGTCACTGGCCCTTACTGAACAATCACCTTTATCAAGCATTTATTAGGGAAGCAGTCAGGGACAGCACCCAGGCTGTCCTTTGGGCCCTGCCCACCTGTGGTTCTCCACAGAGTGCCTGGGGTCTCCCACAGCACACAGACAAAACAATTTACACTAATAACAACTTTCCTGAGGTTATCCTTTCTCAATCCTGGTACATTCCATCTCTCCCATAGGATATTCTGCACCTGAGAAGAACTCAGAACTGCAGAGGGTTGAACACCCTCTAATGCCCCTGTACCATGCTGGAAGGGGCAGGTGTCTGCACCTGCCTGGACACTATTCCTGGTCCAGTGCAACACCAGCCTCCAATGTAAACACACACTGGATGGAACATCTGACCTCCCTTTTCCTGGCCAGCTACTGCCTCCCCCCCCACCCCCCGTTATAAATACATGCTTCAGAAATACATAAACACATAACTTAACACCTGCTTTGACACAGGCATGGCACGGAAACCACACTGGGACCCCAGACTGTTTCACCTGGTTCCCTCGAGGCAGCCCTGTGTCCCTTGCACAGGCTGGGGAGATCCAGCAGCCATGGCTGGGGTTTGAGCCAGAGGGGTCTGTAGTGTTTGTGGCCTTCTCATCACACTCAGTGCAGCAACATTTGTTTTCAGGCAGAAAACGCCAGCCTGTGCCCTTGCCCTGCAGCAACACCACTTTTGCCTGGCAGTGTTATGACTGGTGGGTGGCTGTGTCCCCTGCCAGACACCACAATGACTCCCCACTGATCCCAACGCTCCCACGGGACGGGGAATATTCCCAGTGGGAACTGAGGCCCTGCACACCACAGAGCGCAGATAGGAGAAACCTTTCCAAAAAAGCAGCCTTGGCCTCATTCAGACAGGGTGATGCCAAGGCTGGGAAGCAGCTGAGGGATTCTGCCAGATTTAGCACTCAAATTGAGGCCTCAGTGAAAAGAGCAGCTCCCCAGGCTGAGGCTCAGGGCCTGTCCTGCCCCAGGCCAGCCTGATTCAGTGCCAAGCAGAGCTCGCCCAGCTCGCTCTCATCGTTCTCCTCAGGCTCGCTGCTGAAGTTGGAGGGGCTGCTGCTGGGCAAGCTGCGGCCAGAGCCCGTGCCCAGGGAGCCCTTGGGGTCAGTGCCCGGGGAGCCCTTGGGGTCAGTGCCCGGGGAGCCCTTGGGGTCAGTGCCCGGGGAGCCCTTGGGGTCAGTGCCCGGGGAGCCCTTGGGGTCAGCACCCACGGAGCCCTTGGGGTCAGTGCCCGGGGAGCCCTTGGGGTCAGTGCCCGGGGAGCCCTTGGGGTCAGCGCCCGGCCCCATTGCGTCCTGCGGGCACACGCTGCCAGTGTGGGCAGGAGCTCGCTGCAAGCTGAAAAACTGCCTCAGCAGGGATTGCTGCAGAGTCGTTTGCAGGCTTTCACAAGTCCTCTGTTTTGTGCCTGGCTGGGTGTAATGCAAATCCAACTGCAGGACCACATCTGTCTGGAAGAACAAAGAACACAAAGTGAATGGGAGAAGTGGATTGGAAGCAGAGCTTTGCACTGCTGCCGCCAGGAAGGAGCCTTGGCTGGCTGCTGTGCAGGCTCACAGCCCCATGCTGTGGCACGATGGAGCAACACTACTGCCAGAGAAAATGGGCTGTACATACTCATACAGCTCGCTACACCTGCAGGCCTCACCCGGGGATTTTGGATTTCAGGACCTCTGCTGAAATCAGGCCATGTGGGAATCTCATCAGCTCCATCAGGGAACTGCCACTGTGAGCATCACCCCAGGGATGTGGGCACAGGAGCTGCACCACGGCCAAGACCAATGCACGTGGGACAGGAAAGCATGAACCACTTACAGTGTGCAAGGCCAGCTTGGATGGGGCTTGGAGCACCCTGATCTAGTGGAAGGTGTCCCTGCCCATGGCAGGGGGTGGAAGGAGATGAGCTTTAAGGTCCCTTCCAGCCCAAACCATTCTGGGATTCTATGAACTAAAACACACCTCACATTGTAAAAGCCAACAGCTTTAACCAGCAGTGCTCCATAGGGATCTACTCACAGCCTAGACTATTTTAGAGTTTTATAAAAGATGAAGAAATAAGAGAATAACCACATTCATGGCAGTCAAACCCCTGAAAACAGACCCTCAGCACGGCACTGTGCCTGAAACACCTGTAAAGAGCAGAGAGATATATAAAGGAACAAGAAAATTCTGACAGGCAATGCCTGGTCCAGGTCTCCTGTCTGCACTTAAAAGCAATGCAGAACAATAGGGAAAGGCTCAGAAAAGAGCTCCAGGAACAATCAAGAACTGAAAGCACTGCCATATGCTGAAGCACATCACGTACAGAGCAAGCAGAACTTGCTGTAGGCAGATCCAGGCAGCAGCTTCAGAGCAGCACTTGGTGTAAGATCCACTGGCTGTGTAATAGGGGAGGAATAAAAATCCAGGAATGAACAAGGTGCATACTGCTGTTTGAGGATAAACAAGCCAGGGGACAAGCACTTCTGCTTCTCTCATGGTCTTTAAATAGTTTGAGGGTGTTTTGAAGTGTGCCAAAGAGGCACAGCTTGGATCAGGCTCGGCAGTGTTATTCTGATGACTGGAGATCCTGGCCAGCCCATGAACTCATCTCTCAGGCAAGCACACAGCCTAGTGAGACATTCCTCCACCTGAAATAATTGGGCAGGTCTGACCTCCCCATGATTAATGGGGCAAAGAGCAGCCTCCTGGCCAGGCAGCAGAGAAAAATAGAACAATCTATGACTGGTGATGCCTCTCTGCTCTCAGCAGAGGCTGCTGTGGGTCAACTTTGATAGGAAAGTCAGGCAGAGGAGAAAACATAAAAGCAAAGAGTATCCACAGTTGGGTTCTGCAGCCTGATTGTAAATCAGAAAGATTTTGCTCAGGTGAAAAAGGTGAGGTGAAAGGACAGTGCTCTCCTATGGAAACATGCTGGGAGAGCTGGGTGCATTCAGCCTGGAAAAGAGAAGGATCCAAGATGACTTTAGAGCCCCTTCCAGTGCCTAAAGGGGCTCCAAGAGAGCTGGAGAGGAACTTGGGTCAAGTGCCTGGAGTGACAAGACAAGGGGGAATGGCTTCCCACTGCCAGAGTACAGATTTAGATCAGGTATTGGGAAGCAATTCTTCCCTGTGAGGGTGGTGAGGCCTTGGCACAGGTTGCCCAGAGAAGCTGTGGTTGTCCTATGCCTGGAAGTGTCCCAGGCCAGGTTGGACAGAATTTGCAGCAACCTGGTTTAGGGGAAGGTGTCCCTGCCCATGGCAGGAGGTGGAATGAGATGAGTTTTAAGGTCTCCCCTAACCCAAACCAATCTGTGATTCTCTAAAAGAGGGTGGGTTTTGTGCCTTGAAGATCAACAAGCTCCTCTTCAGTCTGGATGTGACACTGACACGTGGTCAGAGAGGCACTTCCAGCTCCAGCCATGCAGATGGGGACACCAGTTCTGTGAGAGTGCAGAGCTGGGGAAATTTGCACCTGGCTATTCTCTACCTGAATTTTCTGCAGTGCACAGAGCTGGAAGACACAGTCCAGCTCCTCCCGCTTGTACACAGAGGCCAGCAGAGTCTCCACGTGGTCCAGACAGCTCTCCCTCTGGATGGCCACATCATCTGTCTCCTGGGTCAGGAAAACAAGAGGAAATGCAAGGAAATTTCAGCATCAGCATGAAGCATTGAGGCTCAACTGCCCATGAAACATGTGCTCAGGGCTTTGATTAACATATTGTCTGGTGGAAATGCTGAATATCCTGATGGAAGTACTACAGAAAGCAACAGGAATGCAGAGGTTTTACAGACTTGCCTTGTGCATATCAGTGAGAAGACCCTGAGTGTCTCAGCATATGTCGCAGTCCAGATGGCCACAATACACAGAGCATCACCATACAATTCCTGAATGCTTCACCCCATGCAGAGTAACACCACTTCAGAAGGCTGCAAGCATCTGCCTTGTTCTTTAGGCCAATCTTTTATACCCTCATGTTGATGCACTGCACCTGTGTGCCCTCTGCTCCCTTTGGTGGTTGGGCAGTGCCCCTGGGCACTCCATGGCTCATTGCTGTCAATGCTGCTCACCTGCTTCTCACAGCTGCACCCACTGGGGATGAGCTGCAGCCCCACTCCCAACCACCACAAACTGTACTTACATCTGAGTACATCTTTCTGTGAAAAATGGGGTACAGTGGGGTTTGCAGCAGAGCAGGAGGCAGCACCAGCTGGTATCACATCACTGTAGTGCCAGCAGTGTGTCATGGAGGGAGCAAGTTTTCCAAAGGCACAGCTGGAAGCTCTGAGTTGTTCTGAGTGCTGATTTAGCCCCTCACCATCTACAGAACTGCCAATTCTTACCAAGTTACACACATTTAATCAAAACAGCAGCATCTATGAGATCCTCTTCAGTACTGATTAAATTGTGGAGCCACTAACAACACCCCAGGAAGAGACAAGGGAATAAAGGCCTTATGAAATCACAGATCATGGAATATCCTGAGTTGGAAGGAACCCACAAGGGTCATCGAGCTCAACTCCCTGGCACCCCAACAATCCCACCTTATGCCTCAGAGCATTGTCCAAGTGCTCCTGGAGCTCTGGCAGCCTTGGAGCTGTGACCAAGTCCTTCTTGCCTTGGATTTGAGCCTTCCAGAATGGGTCTGTCAGACCACAGTCTAACAGCCCCTTCCAGAAGGCTTCCCTCTGCCAGCTAGCTCTGGCAACCATCCCAGTGTGATCCTTAGGAGAAGTTGCACTGGGCATGCTGGTGAAGGAGGTTGTTAGGATATTTGGGGAGGTAGAAGTTGGAGAAGCTCTAGGAGCTCCTCCTGGCCTTCCCTGAACTGCTGCCTGCAAGCAGCCAAAGCTTGGGTTTGGTTCTGGCCAGGAGAGTATAAGGAAAAGCATTGGATTCCAAATGCTGGCTGGGATCTGCAGGCATCAGGATCACCCCTGCATGCAAGGCTGGTGGAACAGGAGGTCACTGGAGGTCACTGAAGGCTGAGGAAACACCATTTATCTCTGTGCGAGAGAAAGCCAAATCCATCTCCGCACTTGGCAGTTCATTACAGGAAAGATAAACTGGAGGGAGCTTGGGGAAGATCAGGCCAGAGAACGGAGAGCAAAGAGGCAGGAAGCAGATCAGCCAGCTGCTGCTGCCAGGGCTTTGGCAGCATGGCTGCACAAAGGAGGGTGTAGCCCTGCTGTGTCCAGCCAGCTCCATCCTCCAGCACATGCTCTGACCTGCAGAGCTGCCTCAGCCCTGGGGTTTAGCACAGAGAGGACGTGGAGCTGCTGGAGAGAGCCCAGAGGAGGCCACGGAGATGCTCTGAGGGATGGAACCCCTCTGCTCTGGAGCCAGGCTGGGAGAGCTGGGGGTGCTCACCTGGACAAGAGAAGGTTCCAGAAGACCTCAGAGCCCCTGCCAGGGCCTGAAGGGGCTCCAGGAGCTGGAGAGGAACTTTGGACAAGAGCCTGGAGTGACAGGACAAGAGGGGAATGGCTTCCCACTGCAGGGGTAGGGTTAGATTAGAGATTAGGGAGAATGTCATCTCCACTTTGGAACTTCCTCCCTGCAATACAAACCATGACTTACTTCCATGTTGGAATCAACTTTTTGTAGATTTCAAGGACCCATAAAATTAACATTTTTGCTTTTCTTGCCTAAACTACAATTGCCTTGCTCCTTCATTTCATTCCTTTGTCTGTGTTTTAGTTGGCAGACTTTTTTTCCATGAAGCACAGACCCGAAACTGGACCCACTGTTCCAGCAACAGCCAGGAGAGCCAGACAGGATCTCACAGAAATCTCAGAGCTCTAGTTTGCAACCCTGCCATGGGTTTGTGCCCTGATTTTGTTGCCTCATCTGATCTGGGCTCTGACCAGAACTGGCTCTCCACTCACTGCCCATCCCATGCTGACACTACCTTTTATTCTTGCTCACAGGCAGGAACTTGCATCTGCTGAATAAAGCCTTGGCCTGAAATTGTACCTTCAGTTATCCAAATCCCTCAACAATCTGCTCTGATCCTCCTACATTACCTGCCCCTGCTTCCACCTCTCGCACACCTTTTCACGTGTGAGCTCAGTTAGGAGCCCCCAGCAAATCCATGCAGGCCTCCTGGTGCCTTTGCTTGACTCCCTGTTCATCAGGATCCTTGGGAATCCAGCAGCTCTCCAGGCTGTGTCCCACACACACCATTCTCCAGCCTAGTGACCTTCAAGACATTCACCTGGGCAAGGAGAACCTGGTGTGTCTGCAGCAGCAGGGCTGGACTGGAAGATCTGCAGAGATCCCCTCCAAACCCAAACATCCATGACTCTGTGATCTCAAGGGATCAATTAAAGCCCTGACATGTGAGATTCAGCTGACATGCACACATTATCCACAAGTATCTGCAGTCTGCTAAATTCCCAGCCTCCACAGCCTCCTGTTCTACAAACTAATTCCTTACCATACTCTCCTTTATCATTTCTGGCTGTATAGGAGAAAATGGAGAAAATTTTTTTTAATTAATTCTTTTAGACAATTCATAGTTATTTATAAACCTTTCCCCACGGTGGGATGTGCTTTTTAATGAAGATGGTGTCCAGGAATTGGCAAGGCCAGATTTTAGCTGGCCCAGAAATAGGGATATTCTAAATAAACCGGGGGAAGGTTGACTGGCAAGGCCATTATGTCAAACAGCTCCAGATCAAGTGTCTGGAAAACAAGGAGATCCAACATAAAGGTTTTTAAAAAGTAAGGATTTAAACAGTACAGAGAAAAAAATGAGAATGTCTTGGATCATATGCTAGAGCAGCCACTCCCTCTAAAGACAGTGCTTGTCAGGTAAAAATAGAAGTCAGGCAAGACACAGGATGGGAGGGAATATGGGACAACTACAGAAAATGGATCAATGCTAGAAAATTCCATTGTAATTGTTCCAGGCAAGCCCACATCAAGCCCAATTAAGTCCCTTTGATAACCAGAACATGGCAAATGGTAAGAAAACTCCAATTTCCTACACTCCCCACTTCCTCAATGAAACAGGATCATTCCCCAGGGCTTACAACCTCACATTCAGCCTGGTGTTGTTGGCCTTCAGCCTCCAGCTCCTGCAGCTCAGCCACGCACGTGGGGTTTAGGGGGGCCCCCAGCAGCCCCCAGCATCCCCCAAAAGCGCTGGCAGGATCCTAGAGGGAGCCCAGGGCCCCCCATGGGCATCTCAGGGATCCCACAGGGGTGTGGTCACTGCTGTCATGTCTGAGGTGGGGCAGGTGACAGTCATGGAAGGACATGCTGCTGCCTCTGCAGACAGAGCTGGAGCTCACTGGAGCCAGCTCCACCATGGACAAGGACCATGAGAGGGATCTGGCTGTACTGGTGTCCCTTTTTGTCCCCCTGATCCCTCTTGAGACAGCTCCAGAGGCAGGAGTAGGCAGCTGGGTCCCCCTTCCCCCCAGTAACTGATGTGGGGCAAAGCACACAAATATATGCTCACACACACAGACACAATTCTCATGCATGATGCTCACAAGGGGAAATGATGCTGCCGCTTAGAAATGGGCAGGATCAGGCTCCAAACCTCCTGGATACACCACGCTGCATCAGTGACCCCAGCGTGCTGAGGAGCAGTGTCCCTCCACGAGAAACAAGAGCCAAAAAATCCACCAGAAATGAGCTATGCTTCAGGAGGAGGACTACAGAAAACAAGGGAGATGATAGTTACAGAGAGGAGCAGCAAATTAAATCTGTACAGGTGGCATGGAGATCAGTAAAGCCCACACTGGGCACATGGTCTGGGAGAAAGGTTTGAGAAAGGGTTCAAGGAAGCTCAGCTGGGAAGGAATATATTGTTGCATTAAGATACATTAGCAAAGCAGGCTAAAGAAGTCAAAAAGCCAGACCTACTTGCTAACACTGAAAACAGAATAGCTTTGTCCTCAATCAGATTAAATGCAATAATTTAATCAGGCAGGCCAGAAATCAATCTGAAGGATAACTGGTTAAAGGCATCAAACTGCTGCCAAATTCTTTTTGTGATGCCCAAGAAGCAAGGCAGGGAATCCACCGAGATGTGGAAGGAGCCTCAAAGAGGTGTATGCAGAGGAGGGGAACCTTTTCCACCTGGGCCCAGCAGTTCCCAGCCTTCAGGACTCAGCCCAACCACCCTCCCCGCCTGTGACCCGGGGAAAGCAGCCCAGGAAGGGGCAGGCAGAGCACTCACGGCGAGCTGGCGGAGCAGGAGCTGGGGGTCAGTGACGTGGGCCAGGGGGGGCTGTGGCTTGGCACACACGAACATCAGGTTGGAGAAGAGCCGGAGGAAGCGGAGCTCCACCCGTGCCCCACATGGGAAGGTCACCGCTCTGCTCGGCAGCTCTGCAAGGGAAATTCCAGCACCATCAGCTCCTCCGAGGTTCCTGTCAACACCTCCCTGCACAGCGCTGTCCCTGAGGGCCGCAGGCACCCCCAGCATGGCTCACCTTGGCCGTGTCCCCAGTGCCCAGCGGCTGCTCCCGAGGGACAGACGGGGTCTGTCAGAGCCCGGGCTTCCTTCAGAGTGTGCCTGATCTCCATCACCTGCTTCCCAGTGACCAGGGGATCACGGCCAATGTCTGTGGGAAAGAGTGGGAAGCACAAGGATCACTCCAGGCTCCTTATTGATCTCCCTGCCTTTCAGGCCCTACAGGAATGTCTCCATGTTACAGAATTTCTGAGAGAGAGAGGGCATGATTTATGTCTGGAGTGAGAATTGAGCTACCCCTCAGACTAGGCCCCTGATAAGAGGCCTTGGTGGGGCCTAGGAGCCTTTGACGCAGTAAAAAATTAGTTGTGGCGCAGTTAGAAATTATTTTAAGGTAACTACAAAGTAACAAGCTATCTGAGTGTGAACTAGAATAGAGCTGCAGTGTGAAAAGCCTGACCATCTTAAGGCAAAGGTAAACAATGTTAGCATGCCAATCAGAGTGCCTTTGTAAACTGTAAACTATGTGGAAGTGTATATAAATTGCCATTTTCTCACTAATAAAAGGGAGAACGTTACATTAATCATATTGGTTTGACGTGCATTCTGTCCTGTCCAGCTTTCCTGTTTTATGAGGACCCTGAGTTCATCTCCATCCTGCTCAGAGGCTACTGAAAGCTCCCATGGCACACGGTCTGTGGTTTAGAGTTTAGGGAAGAACAGTGGGTGGGATATGGGATGGGTTGGGATGGGATGGAGTGATGTGGAGCCACATGGTCTCTGCTGTCTCTTCTCACCCCTGCCACTGAAGCGAGTGGTTTCTAGCTTCTCTTACCTTCTAACACATCCTCCAGCATGTATGTGACCTTCTTCTCTTGCAGAATGTGCTTCTTCAGGTATTTCATGAAGATCCCAGAGCTGAACTCCCCATCGTGCAATTCATAGGCTTCTGCATCTTCACTCCTGCAAGAGGAAGGATATTTCTTCAGAGTCCTTGAAGTTCTGCATGGGCATGAAGCTCAAGTCAGTCTGGGGTGGCCAACTCCATCCAGCTCAGAGTGAGCTTCTCAAGGAATAACACAAAGTGCTTTGGTTGTGCCCCAGAAAGGATGGGCAGGCCACAGGATAGGAAAAAGCAGTGGAAGGGAATGGGATAGGACAGCACAGTCTCCTTTGCCAGCCCAGGTGGGTGACAAAGGTGAAAAGCCAGTGGAACTGGCACTGGACCAGTAAATAACACCCAGCATCTCAGGAAGCTTTAGGTGAGCTGCTCATTGGACATTCACCTGGGGAATCCACTGAAAAACAGGTGACAGGAGCTGATGTCACCTTCACACGCAACTTTCAAGTGAAGCACAGGCTGCTGGCAGCAGAGAGGACAGCAGTGCCTGGACAGCACACCCAGCAGATGCAGGGTGAGAGCCAGAGGGAAATGAAAGCCTCTCCAGCCTCTGTGCACGAAAGGATGAGAGGAGACCGGGCTGTGGCAGCCTGGTCCCGTGTGAGGCTGTGGGAATGGTGAGGTCACTTACGTGGAATAGCCATAGACTGTGTTTCCCCAGGGCTCCAGTGGCTGCACCTGGGACAAGGCACGTCCTGGGTTGTACCTGCAGAGGAGGCAAAGGCACAAGTCAGAGTCGAGGACATCTGTCAGCTGGAGGGGACAAATCCCACACATTCCTCATGTCCATCTCTTAGGGATGGCGGTAGGATCAACCCTCACCTCAGACATAACCAGCGAGACTAAAGCTGGGAATCCCACCAAGAACCCAAACCACAGGGAAAGGAGTAGGTCTGTCCAGCTGTGACTTATCTGCAGTGGTGAGCTCTCCTTGCCCTGAGCCTGAAGCTGGGGTACAACCTGGAGCTGTGGGTGCTCGCTGCCACCTCCCCACAGAGGCTGGGTTTTTACAACTCCAGGCAGCACCACAGTGCAGAGAACACACAGGTTCACCATGGCCCAATGGACAACTGTCCCTCAAGAAGTCAGAGGTGCACAGCACCATGGTTATGGCTCAGCTGTCTGTGCTGGGGGTGTGGGACACCACACGAGGCCCTTCCAGACCATGCACACACCTTTGCCTCAGGGAACCAAAGCAGGCTATGGATGACACACCCCCAGATCTCTCTGAGAGATGGGATCAGGACACACACAAAAGTCTCAAAGCCCAACACTGGTACTGTCACCTCAGTCTAGATACAGCTGAATGAGCACAGCCCCTATTATTTCCAAAATCAGGTAGATCCATGGTGACAGGATCTGATTTCCAACAAAAAGGATATTTTGGTTGCATTGAATGGTTAAACTTTGCCCATCTGGCTGCAGGCAGACTGACAGGGTGGGGACAGGCTGCCTCCAGCTCACACCAGTGACTTGGAGCTCTTCCCAGTCACACAGCGAAAAGAACCAGGCACAGAGGCAGCATTAACTCCAGCACAGTTTCCTGGGGCTGGAGCTGGCACACTAAAGAGAGCAGAAAGGCCAGCAGCCAGCATGTCACCTACTGCTGGTGGCACAGTCTTGAGATGGTCAATGGCAGAATTAAACTGGCTTGTGTAAGCTGTCCTACAGATGATCAGAAGAGAAAATATGAGAAAGGAAACATCTTTCTAAGTCTGAATATTGAGATTTATCTGCTCTTCAATTGCTCTTAATTTAATGCAGAAATCTTTGGTTCCAGATCCTAGGATAAATCAGGGAATTCCTGGAAAAGGCAATCACATCCGCCCAAAATCAGTATATAAATGTATGAGGCCACACACAGGCTCTGTGCTCTGATTCCTCCCCTGCTAAGGCTGAGCATCTGCTCCCACTTGGCAAAGGGAGATGTGTTCCTCACCACCCTGGCATTTCTGGTGCCAGCACATGAGGTGAGGAGAAATTCTGGGTGAGCTCTCTCTTAGCACAGACACAGCTTCATGCATGATCTGCTGACAGACCTGCAGCATCAGTCTGACCAGGAGGGTGTTGGGAAAGGAGGCCCTGGGAGCCTTGCTTTACACAGTGGTGTAAACACACACAGCTATGAAATCCAGGTGCTTTCCTGAGCTGAAATGGTGACTTCTCGAGAAAAAATGAGCTCAGGAGAGAGCTCCTGCCCCCACAAGATCAGGGATAACACCCCCTGCATGAAGTGCTGTGCTTGCTGTGGAAAACAGGAGGTGTGAACTTCAGGGAAGGAGGGAGAAAACCAGCTGCACAACTTTGCCTAAATATAACAGCAGATCTCACACTGCATCCTCTTCCCAGAGCACCACGGAGACTCCATTGAGCAAAGGAACCAATGGCAATGCCAGGGAAGGAGACAGCAGCTCAAAGGGAGACAGACAGCATCTCAAAAGCTGTTTTACAGATGGTTAACACTTGCACTGGTGGTCCCTGTGCAGCCCCCACAGTGCCTTCCCAACACACCAGCAGCCCAGAGCTCCACCAGCCCAGCTCCAGCAGAGTATCCATGAGATCCAGGTGTTCCTGCTCTGCTGCAAACCATCCCCTGCCTCTGATCATACTGGGGAGGGCAACCAGGCACTGCCACGTGTGCCAGGGAAGCAACACACTCTGCTCTCAGCAGCCAGCAGGAAGGGAGAAAGGGGATGCTCCACTCTGGGGGGCTCAGGGCAGCATCAAGGGACATCAAGGTCCTGCTCCAGAGCTGTGGGACAAGTCCCAGCTCAGCCAGCTTTAAGCTATTTAAAGCAAGCAGCCCCATCACTGCAGCTAAAAGGCATAAAAAATTTATCATCTCTGCAGGGGCTGGCAGCTCTCTCAGGGTACCAAAAGCTGTGTTGTCTCTCCAATTCTTAGCGCAGGAACCACAGCACAAAGAGAGATATTCCTACATTTGCTCTCCACATCCTCTCTGACCTGTAAATCTGCCTCAGGAGCCTGAAATAAATGAACTAATGACAGCTTCTACTTCAATAGTCCACCCACCTCTGCTGAAATTGGACAGGTAGTAATTTCCTGCAGCAGGATAGAAGTCTGCAGGCCAAGGGAGGATGATGGGTTTTCCACAGAAAGTGGGAAAATGCTGATCCCTGACCTCAGCAGCAGCAGCTTCACAGCATGACCACTTCAGAAGGATTTAAGCCCAACAAAAAACAAGTAGCAGGGCTTAAAATATTTTCCCTGTCATGTTGCACTCTTCTCACAGATGTTAACAATAATGCAGCCAGGAGAAGAGAGGTGAACTGAACACTCCCAGCCTGAGCACGTGGGAAATATGGACCAGGAGAGCACACAATCAGCTACATCAGGTTAGGTATTTGAAAGATAAAATACAAGCCCTGTGCTGAGTTTAAGCCAACAATTTATGCCAGGCAAAGCCACCCGTCCACAGGCTTGAGGCAACCTGCCTGTATTTGCCACGCTTCTTCATCTCAAAAAACCAAGGGAGGGTCTCCAGCCCCTTTTCTCCAGCAGATCTCAGACAAGGTCTGATGCTGCACTAATACATGATTGACCCATCCCCCAGGACAACCCGCAGGACCTGACAATGTGGTTGATTTTATGGCACAGATCAATAACCTCTGACAGAGGCTCAGCAGCACCATGGGGGCTGTCCAAACCCACAGCCCTTCCCTCAGCCCCCAGAATGCCCAGCCCAGATGGGGAAGGGGGAAGAGGCCCCTACCACTTCCTGCAGGTGTCCAGCAGGATGATGTTCAGGGCTGTCTGCTGCTGCTGCATCTTCTGGAGGATCCTCTGCACGCTGATGCAGTTCTCAGGGGCATAGGGTTGTGGAGCATCAACAGGGACCATGTAGTTCCTCCCCAGATGTTCGTAGCCATGCCCAGCGTAGTAGAATATAGCTGGGAACAGGGAGAGGAGAGGATGAATCACGATGCCAACCTGCAGATCTGTAACCAGCTCCCCACAGCCATGTCCCACCTCCTGTCCTGGAAAGACACCGGTGCAGGGCAAACCTAGACCAGTCACACCTATGGAACTGGAGCTACAGTGACCTCACAATTTCAACTTTTTCCCAATTTATTCCCTTCATTAATGTTGGAAGCAGCCCCAAGAGGCTCTCCTGTGCTTGTGGATTCCTGCACCGTTTGTCTCCTGAAAGCCCTGGGTTTACACACTTCCAAACCCTCTGTGCTACAACGCCCAGGCTCAGCACCTGCCAGGCTGAATTTCACCACTGTACCATGTTTTGGTTAGTCCTCAGCTCTCTGAAGGAACAAGGCAACAGAAAAGGATTTTATGAGGATGGAAAATACATTAACAGCCATTTAAATGAGAAGCTCCTCAGTTTCCTAGTTTTGGAGAGACTAACAACTGATTAGGTGATGGGAAACATCCTCAATTTCAAAGGTCTGCCTGTATTCACACACCTATAAACTGGTGAAAAAATAGACACAGAGAGAGATGAGGTCTTCAGATGTCCAGAACATGAGGATCGTGTGCTTCAACAACCTCAAACCAGGCACCAGCCCTGGTAGGCAGGAGAGGAGTCAGATTCACAAAGATACCAGTGGGAAGCCCAAAACCCTACATGAATTTTGGGTTTTACTCTTAGGCACATGAAACTTAGTAATGGTTTCTGCATTCCCAAGAGATGGCACCACAGGGCCATCCAGGTGGGAAGCCAGCTCTGGGCAACCTGGCATGGCCTAAGCTGGGGCTCCTCTCCAACCCCGTGTTCAGTGCAGGGCTGGCACAGGGATCCCCAGGCAGGCTGGAACTTCTCAAAAGGAAGCTGCAGAGTGGCTGGCTACCCCTCCCCAGGACCAATGCCACTGCTTGGGGATGCTGGTTGGTGAAATTTGGGGAATTGAAATAGGTTAAAAATAGCTCTGTGATGTGACACAGAGAGTTGTGTCACTACAACTGGGGGACAGTGAAGAGTGAGAGGTCAGAAATGGGAAAAAGCAGATAAGAGGCAACACCAGGGGAAACTCCTCACTCAGATTCACTGCCAAAGCCCACACTTCAGTGAGTAACCTCTCCTCTATTTTTCTTCCACTGCTCCTGCCCCTGCACTTGGCAGGACGATCACTTTGCTGTGATTCTGCAAGGATGCAGTAACAGGGGCAGGAGCTGAAGGGCTGAAAGCATGATCCCATTGTGGAATGGAAAACATGATCTCATAGCCAAAAAGACCTCGAGTTACCTCTGGTTTCTATTCTCAGGGGACAGTGGAAAGTTTCTCAAATGGCCACTTTCACAGATGCCCATGAGATTTGGGTTCCTCTTCTGGTGGATCACCAGCCAGAGACAGCAGGCTCTGATTTGCAGAAGCTTTAAACTTTCGTAACTTGTGAATCAAAGCCACAAAACCCTCCCCTGAGACTAGAAAACAGTATAAAACAGGAAGCCTTCTAGAAAAATCAGATGCAGGTTGGGCCCCTTGAGCCATTGAGCACTGGTGGCTTTTGTCCTTCTGCCTGTACATGCAAGGGAAGTGAGGACATCTGTTATGAGGCAGCATCATTGAGGCTTGGAAAAAATGAAATGTAACAGGAAAACCCACAATGAATGATTCACTCCTTAAATCCTCCAAATTGTGAGGTCTTGCTGAGTACCTGAATGTACCACCAAGTGCTCCCCATGCTATATAAACCACAAAGACTCGTGTTCAAATCAAAAAAGCTGATTTTCACATCACCTTGGAGCAACTTCTCCAACCTCTCCTGGACTGAATCTCTCCTCCTGAACAGGAAAATCAACAGTTTGCACAGAGAAGGAAAGGGATGTTTTATTCTGAGTTCTTCCCACGTTGTATGAGTCAGAACTGCTCATGACAGAAAAATTTCTGAGTACCAAATTAAAAAGGGGAAGCTCCAAGCACTGCTTATAATGCAGGAAATGTCAGCATGAGGCTGAATAAAGGCGTCACTCTGTATTCTTAGTATTCCACTCACAATTTTCTGTTTGCGTTGCATTTCCACTGTAATTTTTTTTTGTTTGGGACTTTTTAGGATGCTCAAAATAACATCCACGGGGATTCCTCACTTGCCTGAGGGTGGAATAATTAGATCACTTAGAGGATGTTTCAGGGGCCTTCAAAAATTTTATGCAGTTTTTCTAAGATGAGATCTGAAGGAAAAGCAGCCTGATAATCCACCACCTCCATACAGTGAATTGGACAAACCTTTGGATCATAGAATCATTAGGGCTGGAAAAGACCTCCGAAATCAAGTCCACCCTTGGACTGAACCTCACCACATCCACTTGTTTTTTGAACACTTCAGGATCCAGGCCTGGGAGCTGTGCTGGCACGGCCTGGAGATGTGGAAGAGTTTCACAAAAGCCTACAGTTCCTGGAAGGACAGGTAGAGACCAAAAAGCCCAACTGCCCTCGTCAGCACAGACCATACAACAAGGGGCAATGAGCACCAGCCCATGGAGGGTCATGTTCACCAGTCAGTCCTCTCCTCCTCCTGTGTGTCTACACAAAGCTCTCCTGAGTTCAGCTCTGCTGGTTGCTACACAGGAGGTGGCACCTCCAGGTTCCTCAAGCATGGACGCTGGGATGCCACAGGAGCACGTCCAACACGCACATGGGTGTACAGGACTGGCTGCCACAGGCACCTCTGGGGGCTTTAGCAGGCTGCCTGAGCTGTTCCTGCTGTCCCACCACCACTGGAGCACTCAGTCTGACCCAATGTCCCACCATTCCATTCAGATTCCAGTGAATGTGGCAAGAAAATCACTCCTGGATCCAGCCCACACTGGGGTTCACTGCCTTCAAAGAACAGCACACCACTCAGCCTGGAGAGCTGTTCAGAAAACCTCAACCTAAGCAGGCATTGCCTCACAAACACTCAACTCAGCTGTTGACAGCACACAAAATCAATTTTGCCAGGAATGATCAGAGGCTACGAATGCAGAGAAGCTCTAAAGTTTAAATAAGGCATGACAGTATGAAAGGTTTGCTGTTTCCAACCATTTTTTTTTCTCTCCAGTGCTTATTTTTTTCTCTCCAATGCCTTTTGGTCCTCATGTGCCATGGATAGAGGGTAAGAACAGCAGCTGGGATGACTCTGACCTGGCAGAGGTAAAGCCTGGGATACAAGGAGATTTCAGAGAGCAACAAGAAAAGGGAGCTGCAAGTGAAGCCATGGGAATATGCTGCCATAGGTGATGTGCTCAGATGGAGCACTGTGCATGACTGGCCCTTCTCACCAGCTCAGCTCCCCAGATGAGTCAGTGCTTCCCAGAACAAGGTGGTTGTGCAGCATTTACCTCGTGGCCAGGTCCCCATCCGTTACACAACCTCCCAACCTCATGCTGAATGCCAGCTGGAATCAGCCCACGCTGGCTTTCACTGCCTGGGTGCCACTCAGCTGGCATGTAAGCCTCACACTGAGGTTTGGAAGCAAACAAAGCCACCTGCAAGGTGTTTTCAGGATATCATGCTGTGAGAATCTCAGGGACCTCAAAGATGCTACTTTCACCACCAAATCTGAACACCTGCTTTAAGATCCACAAGATCTGCTGATTGGGTTTGTGGCTGAGGAACACTTCCTTACTGAGCACAGTGCACAATTAAGCACAAAGCCCAACCTCAAAACCACCTGCAGCTGGAATGCTCTTCTGCAAAAGGGTTGTCAGGGGCCCAGATTAGACCTTCAGGAAAGAGAAACAAGGAAATCATGACCAGATGCAGCAGTCAGGGCCCAAAAGGAGCTCCCCTCCTCACACATGAGTGGGGGGGGGCAATCAGTCAGTTTCCTCAATTCTTTTATTCAAGAAAAAATCAAAACCAGCTTTCCCCTTCACTACTGGAAGCACTGGCTCCCCAAAAACTCAGTGTGAGCCCATGCTGCTGGGACTGGAGGTGAGCCACACGTTGGGGAAACATCCACTTTGTCTGACTATAACCTGCCAAAACTAAATTAAACTTATCCAAGGGCTCCTGCCAAGCCTGGTACTGATGGAGGCCTCCTTTGAGACAGCAATGTTCAATTTCTTCTCTTTTAATTCAACAGCTATTCAGAAAACTGCCCAATCCCGACTCAGCACGGGCAGGTGGCTGAGCTGGCTTGGCCTTACCATAGACTCCCTTCCCCAGGAGCTGCAGGAACTGACTGACTGCTGCTGCCATCTCAGCCTTGTTCAGATCCAGCAGGGAGACAACCTGGAAGCCCAGATGCTCCAGAAGACGCCTCAGCTCGAACACGTCCCTCACAGGAGCCATGAGGTTGGGGTGGTGCTGGTAGCGGTTGTTGCCCACTAAAAGTGCTATTTTGCCTGTAGCTGAAACAAACACCAAGTGAAAAAGCTGTAAATGCTCAGCAGGAGGCAAGATCTCACCTCCTCCTGCTGGAGTGAGGATATGGGCAATCTGAGGAAAGAGTTAGGCAACAAGGATAGACCCTAGGCTGCTGCAAGCCTGGAGCACCCTCCAGAAAACCCTCAGCTTTCTGAACACTTCAACAAAATACACTATCATTTTGACAAAAGAGCTTGAAAAGTTTTCAGTTGACAACCAAAACCCCAGGAATGCAAAGGTTCTGCTCTACCTGCCTTGGGGTCTGGCATGTCAGTGGTGTGTGGGAGGGAGATTCACTGAGCCAGGCTGAGGGGTCCTTTCCCTCACAGGGTTGAAGGAGAGAAACCCATGGCTCCTGCTTTGATTTTAATCCCACCTCCTACTGTAAGAAAATGGAATTTATGTTGTTCAGTGGTGGTGGGAGTGAGGAACTTTGCCCTGCTCTGAGGAGGTATTTCAAGTAGGGATAAATTGTCATTTGAACCCTTTTAAAATCATTTGGCATGCACAGAACTTAAGACTCAGTTACTCATTAGGAATAATCTTACTCGACTTGCTGAAAAAGATCAGGGCTTGGCAGGGGATGGGACTCATTTTATGCTGTACAGCTGTAATGCAAAAGTGCAGAGCCTGTGGCAATGTGGTCATAACGGCTTGAAGCAGTCTTTGCAGAAAAAGCACTCCCAATCCTTGTCCTCCCATCCACCCTGCAGCCTGGCTTTTAATTAAGGGAGTAATTGCTCAGGAAGAAAAGGTGACAGTACTCACCAAAAAACTTTCCAGAGCCACACGTACCTGAGAAAGAAAGAGGGAAATTATAAGCCTGGGTTCAGTAAGCCTGGGCCTAGCACCCAGTGCCAGGTCTGAATTCTGCTCCAACAGCCCTGACAATGCACAGCTGGAACAAACACACAGAGGATCTGCACAAGCAACACTCCTCAGGCAACTCCTTCATAGCCTGACTGCTAACCTTAAAGACACTGGTCTGCTGTTAGGAGGATTTATGAAATCCAGACTGATTTATGACATCCTGAGCAGCTGGGAAGCAAAGCCTGGAGAAGTGGCAGACCAGGGAAGGAGGGTGACATGGAGAAGCTCATATCTGAAGTGACTCACCTGCTACCTCAATGCAGCAAAAGTTAAGGAAACAGAATGACTCAAGGTCAATACAAGCTCCAAAACAAGACTTTCTTCCTATAAATGTTCAGTGCAGAGGAAGTTGCCCTGTTTGCTTTTGATTGCAACAATAGTCCCAGAGTTTTTCACCTCCCTGCTCTGCCTTTCCCTGTTGTTTTAGCAGTTCTGGCTTAGAAAAGCCACTCACTTTGGTCCACAAGCTCTCCTGCCTGAGCACCTCCAGTCTTTTAAAATCACTACTACGCTAACAGCTCCAGCTTTTCCTATTTCAATCAGAAATAAATTTTAAAATCCAGCCCAGGAGAAAATTCTAGAACCCTAAATGCTCTAAAAGAAGAACTTAAGGATAACTTGCATAAATCTCATGGGTCTTGAAGACCTCTGGCCCCTGAACCAGTGTTGCTGATGCATGAGAGATACCTGAAAAGCTGCAGAACAAAACCACACATCCTTTTCTACCTCTGACAGAGGCACCTGTTGCATGTAAAAGCTCCCCAGCAGTAATACATTGAACCCAAGCCAATCTGGTGTCCTTTTCTCATTGTCTGTTCCCCCCAGGATCTGTTTCACCAGCTGTGAGGAGGCAAGCAGAGTGCTCTCTGACTACACAAGATCAATTTGCACTTTGGAGAAATTTTAAAGCCAGCATAAAAGGCAGGATAAGAAGCTTATGGCATAGAAAAATCTCTAGGTGGAGTAAAGAGCCAGCAAAGTCAGCCTGAGCTATTCCTGCCTCACATAAGATAAAGGCAGAGGGCAAAAGCAGCCAGAAGTGGAGTATGCTCGAGGCTCTGGGAACACATCCTCTCCCTGGGATCCATCACTCACACAGCATCAGCCCTGAGCTGCCAGCCCATGGGACCTGAACCTTCCCAAATGAACACCATCCTCTCCAGCTCTGTATCTGAGCATATCCCTTCACGTCAGCAAGACTGCAAATGAGTTTGGCCACAGGAACCTGCTGTGATTTGGCCTGGAACTGTGAAAGCAGCACCTTGGCATGGTGTCTTGGCAGGTCTGCAGAGAGCAGCTGAGAGCACTGAGCCTGCCCTTACACAGCAGGTGTCTGACCCACCACAGGGCCCAGCAGCATCCCTGCCAGACAGCACATCACTGCATTTAGGGGCTTTTCCAGCCACTGCTCCCTTTGCTCCCTCAGAGCCCCAGCACCAAGGAATCCTGTTTATCATGGTCCTCATTCACCAGCTCAGCACCTCCAGAGAGCACCAAATTCCTCTGTCCCCTCTAATTATGTCTCACACAAAGTGGTATGCAGCAAAGGGATGTGGGCTGGCTCTGCTCACCGATGTGAACGTCCACGGCGTTGGTCCAATGCTCTCCGTGACTGTTGGAGGCACAGCAGAGGTACGTGCCGGAGTCACTGACCTTGGTGTGGGCAATCTAGGCAGATCAAAAATTAAATCACATTATTTATGGTCAAAGTCTGAAGCTCCCTGCCAGGATCTGCCAAAGGCACTTGTGTTCATGGAATAAAAAGTATTTTTCCTGCTGTTTGCAGAAACTTTACCTCACAAAGAATCAGAACAGGGACAAGAACCAGAGCAGTACCAGCTGGCAAGGACTTTGGTTCTCCAGGATCCTGCTCAGAGAGGGACTAAAGCCACCACTGAGTCAGGGTGGCCACTGCTCTGTCTATTCAAGCCCTGAACACCTGCAAGCATTGCTGCCTTTCTGCCTCCAAAGCAGCACTATCCACCTCCAAAAACAACCTCTCCTTAGTGCCCAGACTGAACTTTCCCATCAGAATTGCAATCTAAGGCCACCATGTAAAACCATCTAAGACCATCTGTAATACCATCAACCACTACTGAGAAGAGGCTGGATGTCTTGTCTTTTGCCTTTCATGTGATGCCCTGGAAGTAAATCTCCTTTCCTGATTCAAGAACACAGCATTGAATTACACTCAGCCAGAGACACAAAATAAAGCCAGCCCCTCTACTGCCTCCCTGACTCTCTTCTGTTAGGACCAGCCACATTTCCTTCTAGGTCTCCAGCAGGCAGACAGGCTTCCCATAGCTCCATCAATCCACAGTCCTCTCCACACACAGACAGTAACTGTTCTTATGTCACTGCATAAAAGGGCACAAGAGATGTGCTGAGAGCCCTTGACACATCTATGGATCGGTTACCTCTTAGAGGAATATCCACAACTCTGAAAGAAGTCCATAAAACATATTCCCCCTTCATGCAGAGCTGTCCAGCCAGCCAGCAAAGCAGCAGGGTGACACGTGGAGGGCTTTCTCACAACCCTGCGATCAGCTTCTCCCATTACCCACCTCAGCACCCAAAGCTCCTGTACTATCCCCAGTAAACCTTACCCAGAGCTTTTTTCTCTTCTGCTGCTCCAGCAGGTTCCCATTGCGGTACCACTGGTAGCTGGGGGCTGGGACCCCCATGGCAGCACACTGCAGCTGCAGCGGCTGCCCCACCTCCACCCGCTGCTCCCTGGGGTTCAGGACAATGACTGGTTCTCCTTGCCACAGCCGAGGGGGCAGACCTGCAAGGCAGCAAGACAGAATTGGTCCTCCCTCTACAGGGACAGCAAACAATGCCATCTTCGACACTCACTACTGCAGCTTCCTCCTTGTGGAGCAGGGAACCCTTGGGAGCAATGCCTATGATGGTAAATGCCACACCAAACCCTGCCTCTGGCTTCCCAAACCTGATCCTCGCCCTTTCCTGACAAAGGTACAGTCAACATTCTAAGGAAAACCACACCCCATTTTTGGTCAACTTTGAAGTAGCCAGATAGGTTCTTCCAGTTCCAATACCCAGAATAACTCTGGGAAACACATGACAAGCATGAGGTGCAGGTGCATGTGGATGGGGCTTGGAGCAACATCGTCTAGTGAAAGGTATCTCTGACCATGGCAAGGGGTGGAACAAGATGAGCTTGAAAGTCCCTTCCAACCCAAACCATTCTGTGACTCCATAATACATCAAGAAGGTAAAAGACGAGCTTGTACCTCTGGCAACACACTGATGGACCTCTACCTTCACCCAGTCGGAGAAGACAGCATTCCTGTGGAGGTCATTGACTCTGCAGGTGTAGAGCTGGGTCTGCTCTGCAATGATGGGCAAGTCTTGGTTGGTTGCTCCAGGAACCAGGCAGCAGTCAGACTAAAGGGAAAACATAGGCAGTGGGCAGCAATCCCCTCCTCACTGCCGACAGCAGAAGGCAATAGGAAGCCCCTTGTAAGGGCAACAAAAGCAGAAACCCCTGGTTTCCTCCCCTCCTTCAGCTCCCCCACTGTGTGCAGGGACCCAGCCTGGTGCCATACCCAGGGCCACCCCGTTCTTACCTGGTACTGACAAAACCACTGGTACTGCAGCGAGGTATGTCCCTGGGCTCGGCACCGCAGCGTGAAGGAATATCCCACCGGGACAGAGACAGAGACCGGCTGCTCGGTTATGGTAATGGCTGTGGAGAAACAGCAGGTGGAGGTGGGAACACTGCAGACACAGCCAAGCATCGCACTCTCACCCAGTGGCCAGCCATGGTGGGCTTCAAGAGGGAAGACTGGAAGAACAGGGATGCTCTTGTGGTCAGAGAATGGAGAGATGGGTGGATGGATGGGTGGGTGGATGGGTGGGTGGATGGATGTAAGTATGGGTAGGTGGATGGATGACATGGGCCTCTTCTGGTTATTCTCGCAAGTGCCCGGGGGCTGGCACGGTCACTCTGCCCCGTGGCCACTCACCTTCCTGCATCGCTTCTCGGGCGGCTCCTCCCCGGCCCGGGCGGCCGCCGGCCGGCCCCGCGGCGGTTCCTGTCCCCGGGAGGCGGCGGCGGCACCTGCGGCGAGGGACGGCGGCGCTGGGGCGGGTCGGGCCGGGCCGCGGGAGCGCTCACCCGGCGCGGCGGCCCATGGCGGGCTGCGGGCGGCGGCGCCGGGCCGGGGCCCGCACTCGGCTGCCGCCGGCCCCGCACTTCCGCGCTCCCGGCCCGCCCCGCGCCCGCCGCCACCGGGGGCGGCGCCGGCACCGCACGGAGCGGCGCGGCACGGCACGGCACGGCGCGGCTCCGCATGGCCCGGGCCGGATTGGCTCTGCCTAGACCGGCCCCGCATGTCTGGCCCGCTCCGACGGGCCCTGCAGGACGCGCCCCTCGCCAGGATGCCGAGGCTCCGTGCCCGCACCTCCATGCCCACGAGTGACCTCTCCCCGTCCCCAGGGGTGTCCTCACGCCCACCCCACCGGTGACCGCCACCCGCTCCCAGCCGTCCCTCCTTGCCGTGGTGCCCCCTCCCACACCCCCTACAGGTGGCCTCCCCACCGCCACTGCTGACCTCACCCTCATTCACGCGGCTGTCCTTCCCTCCTCCCTACAGTGTCGTCGTCCCGTCCCTACCACCCCACTCCACCCGTTACAGGTGTACTTGTCTATATCCCACAAATATCCTCACCCCCATCCCCACTGGTGACCTCACCCAATCCCCACAATCGTCCGTGCCCCTTCGCCACATGCATCCTTGCCCCCATTCTGACTGGTAACCTCAACTACTCACCAGGAGTGTCCCTTCCTCCCCACAGTGCCCCCTCCACTCCTTACAGGTATACTTGCCCCACTCCTCACAGATGTCCTCCTCTCCTCCCCACACTGTCCTCCACCCCCTGATGGGTATACTCGCCCATATCCCCATGGGTGTCCTCACCTCCTGCCCCACCATTGTCCTCCACCCCATCCCCACAGCTGTCTTCACCCACATCCCCACTGGTGTCCTCACCATGTCCCCACAGGTGGCCTTGTCCTTCCCCCCATGATCACCCGTGCTGTCATCCCCACAGCCACTCTTGCCCCCTGCCCACACCCCCATGCCCACCAGCCTCAGCCCCCAGGCTCCACGGCCGCACTCACGTCTCTCCTGGGGACCAGGGCCCGGAAGGTTCATGGTGGAGCCAGCACTCCCGGGGTGGGTGTGTAGAACCCCCTTCCTCCGAGAAGTCCCCGCCAGCTGGGCCGGGCATCACGAGTGCCCCAGGGGAAGTGGCACTGGGCCAGCCCTCCGGAGGTTGCACAAGCCCCTCTGGGAAAGAAGGGACGGATGGAGCACTCCATCCACAGCTGTGCCCAGCCTGCCACCTGCAAGGTTAGGGCAAGGTCAGACTCATTAACCCAATTCTCATCACCTTTCCAGAGGCATCGGGACTATGAGGAAATCAGCTGGAAAAGTTAGAGAGGAGGCTGTGAGAGACTCTCACTCCGACGCTGAAATTTCTCTATCCTGTAGCTATGGGCTGACCAAGGAAAGGCGAGGCCATCAGGGATGTCTCTCCCAGGAGGCAGCATGGAAGGGCACAAACAGGGGCATCAGGATGGCAGAGAGAAGCAGTTGTGGCCAAGTGCTCGTGGATCCATGCCCCATGGAACTCAGGGCAGGGCTGAGCTGTGCCATAGGGTCAGAGGAACTAAGTAAGGCTGAAGGATGCACCTCTAACTGCTGCTTTTCTTTTATAACAGGTGGGGAAGAAGGTGGTAGGAAAAAGCAAACCCAACACAACTGGTGGATCAAGGAAAGACTTTTTGCCTCCATGTCCTTTCCTTTGTGCAGAATGGGATAGTTACACTGCAAAGGCAGGAAAAACTGTTACACCCTGTCCACTCAATCTGACCCAGAGCAATTCCTGCTCCAACAAGGACTGGTCCTCTCCTTCCATTGATACAGGAAAGGTGATGCATAGCATAGGACCTTCCTTTGTGCTCATCTCCTCAGTTGAGATCACACAGACCCTGCTTTTTCCTATTTTCTCCAGGGTTCAGCTAGGCATTTGGAAATATATCTATAAATGATTGAAAATGAAAGTTCTGGCTGAGTATGTGTCAGCAGCTCTGTGGCACATGTATGCTGCAGAGTTATTACCTATGCGACACACATAGCTAATAAAAATGATCATTAAATTAACCCCAGCACTTCCCCATAGCTAAAGATGACACTTCTGGCTGATGCAGAATCTCTTCAAACAGCTGGAGGTTGCTGTGTTCCCTGTAGACTGTTTCTCCAGGCTTGAGAGAAAGAATTCTTCTCCAAATATCTCCTCAGAAAGCCCATTGTGCTCATCCTCTGCCAGAGCCCTGCCCTGGCACCATCTGTTAATATCTGGGGAAGAACCAGAGGTGAGTGCTTGTTGTTGGAGTGGAGGAAGAAGCCTGTCATTTTAGAAAGGGAGGAACTTAAGGGTGCAGGATGGGAAAGGGAAGGATAAATCGTGCAAGAGGAGTGAGAAAACATCTGTGACTGTGTGAGTCGGTGCTGGATTTGCAGGCAGAGGAAGAAAGCTTTGCTAACAAGGTCTGAATCCTCGTTTCTGGCTGGCTGTGTTTCCCCCAGAGCCAGGAGCAGAGGGCACTGTCACTCTCTGAGCAGACTGACGGGAGAGCAGATGCTGTGAGAGGAAGCTGTCTCAGCAGGCAACAGGCACAAGAACCATTCAGAGCTTGAAAGGGCAGAAAAGGAATATAAGCCCCGAGCGTCGGGGGGAGGATCAAACACCACAGCAGGCTCTTTCTTGTCACATCTGAGCTAAACCCGAGCTACCCATCCTGGCTTCTCTCCACTGACGGGGTGCAGCACCGAACCATGATAGGACCAGGATGGGAAGGAAGCTCTGGGGGTCTCTGGTCCAGCTCCCCAGTCTGAGCAGGATGTCAATCAGCTGCTCAGCACCCTGTCCCATCCACAGACAACTGTCTCACCAATGGAGATTGCCTGTCTCTTGGGTCCCTGTGGTACTGCTTGATTCCCTTCACAGGGCAAGTAATTTTCCTAATATCTAATCAGAACTTTCCTCCTTGCCATTTGCATTTTGGCCTCTCATTCCATCACTCTGCATCTCTGTGTCTGTGCCCTCCTTTGAGGTAGTGAAGAAAACAAGGAGGTCTCCATTTAGTCTTTCCCTGAAGCCTAAACCCCAGTTTCTCTCATCCTCTTCTCCTATGTCAGGTGTCTGAACTCCTTCAGTCTTTTTGGTGGCCTTGACGGGACTTGATCCAGCATATTAGTGTCTTTCCTGTATTTGGGAATCTGAAATCAGACACAGTTCCAGGCCCAGAGTAGAAACCTACCTGTTCTGGACACCCTTCCTAGCTAGGCTGGGCTCTGTTCTATTAGATCAATATGCCAAGAGGGCTCATGGTAAAATAATGTGTAATTCATATGTTGGGACTTCAGGTTTCCTGAAGCTGTGGGACCTGAAAATCCTCTTTCTCTTTCCAGAGAAAGGCATGGGATCAGTAGAATGCCAGCGTGGGTCTTTCCAGCCCAGCATCCTGCCTCCCACATTTGGGCAGCAGCCAGAGCAGAGCAAAGGGTGTGACATCAGGGCACGCACACACTGAATATTCTTATACAGCTCAAATGTTTCTTGAACTGAAGGTAGTATCTTCATACTGTATAAACCTCAGGAGATTTTCTTTCCACAAATTTGTCCTGTGGATTTTATTAATCCCTGTTGACATTGAACAGCCATGTGTGGAAGTAGCCTAAAGCCAAGGGGAGGGAGGAAGCATCTCCCTTTATGTTATTTTACCTCCTGCTAATTTGACTTTTTCTCCTTGCCCCTCTCAGCTGTGTATACCTCAGTCATAGGCACCTCAGTAGTTTCTTCCAGGCTGAAGAGTCCCAGTCCACACAGTTACCCTTCATGCAGCAGCCAGCCTGGACCTTGGCTCATCCTTGCTGCCCTTCTCTGCGTTCTGTTTGGGTTTTTTCAGGTCTGCTGTTTTCTGTTTGAGATGGATTATTTCTAAGTGCTATTAGCACACAAAGAGCTCACTGCTGCCTGTTGAAAATGAATAATGTGGTTTCCCCGATGGATCATGTTACATTTGTTTAAGGCAATTTCATCTGCTATTTCACAGCCTGGTGAAGGTGAGGCCTTCAGTCAGCCCTCTGGGACCACCCTTCTCCATATTTCCTAGGACCACATCCAAATGTCTTAGGAGGACCACCTCCTTTGCATTTGCCAAGATCAAATATCCTCTCTGGTATCACAAATCCTGCAATTTACGTGCCTGATAATGTGATCACCTGCCACTGTTGTGTCATCTGTATAGGTGATGCAGACACTCTGTGTGTGTCTGTGCATACCCTGGTGCCAGTCCCTATCCAAAGTCACATTCCAAATCACAGTATTTGCTGAGGAAAAGGAATCAGGAATGTCCTGCACCAACTGATCCATCACCTGTCCTCTGCTTGCTGCCACATCTGCTGCCTCTCCTGCCCCAGGAGGATCAGCTGTAATTATGTTGTATTTCCTGGAATTGAGCAATTTGCCATAATTTCCCTGCTCCTGTTGCAATCACTGCTGTGCAGCCATGGGCAGGCAGCTAATCCACAGCGAATCTGTTCCATCCATCATTCCAGTGCTGGAGGGATGCAGTGCCACCGGTGACGTGTCTGCAGCACATGATGCAACAACTTGACAGGCAAGAGAAAGGTAGAACAAGAAAATAAATCCATTTTATCACTCATCATATTTTCATTTGGTATTAAATCACTGCTAAGAATTGTTTGTGACATGTATCCACCTTTTACATCTCTCTTTTGTGCTGTCTTTTTTACAGAGACCGAATAAATACCATCACAGACTTTCTCTTGGGCATTCTGGGGTAAAAAACAGGCTGCCAAGTCATGAGGCCCTGATGTGAGGATTTGACTGCCATGCCCACGCTGAGTGGTGCAGCTAGCCAGGGTGGGAGCCTCGTGCCTGGAAGGAAGTGGGGGATGTTTGAGCTGATCCTGAGAGATCACATAATAACCTGAGCTGGAAAGGGACCCACAAGGACCATAGAGTCCAACTTCTGGCCCCGCAGAGGACAGCCCAACAATCCC